CCTAAGCGGCAGAGGCCCCAGCTGATGAGATCCAAGGCGCTTCTGGAAGTGCCGGGGCAAATAGACGCGACGAAGAGGTCGTTGAGCGAAGAGGGACCGCGCATTCGTCCCCGCGAACGCCCCAAGCCGCCCACGAGAACTCGCAGCGAGGAGGTGTCCAAGTACGACGATCCTTGGTTCAGGTCCGACTCTCCCGAGATGCGCGAATACGTCACGACGGTATGATCGTTGCTTCCAGAAACCGTCGCCGACACTATCGGGAGACGTCGGCGAACTGGCTTCCTTATTTTCTAATCGACGCGCTTATTACAGGCAGCTCAGCATTGCAGCGCGAAATATACATAAGCGGAGATCGTGTGTTGTATAGCTTCTCGCGACGGAAGAAATTATTATTTTCTAATATGCATAATCGATTTTATAAAAGTTACCGAGTAAAAGAAAGAAAAGCGAAAGAGCGAGAAAGAAAGAGCTAGAAATGGCAGCGGGACGAGTGAAAAATTGGGAAAAAAAAAGCTATACGGAGAAAGAGGCGTCGGAATGCGCTTGGTTTTCCTCGCAAGGGCCTCAACGAAGAGCACATCTTCGAAAACCACCTAAATGATGATGGCAGGGCACAATTAACGAGGATGCGAATCAACGAGGTCGAAACGGGACACGAAGGGGAGAGATTCTAACACGATCGTCAGCGCATGGGCGCTGAAAAACTTCGTTGGCCTACACGAAGACTACAAATGGAGATATATTAAAAACAGAGCTAAATAACTTCGAACAATCGACATTCGACGATCATTCCCACAAAAGGAACAACTCTAAGGTACGGGTGGAAGTCGAGGCGAGGGGTCAAGGACTGACTATTATTTAAATAGCGTAATATACGTGTGCGTTTTATCGCGCTCGCGGGGAAATGAGGGTAATTCCTTCCCCGGAGCGCGGCACCTGAATGTTCTCAGCTCAAGACGAAATGTACGGTCGCGCGCGCGGACCGGTCGGACATCCGGTGGAGCGCGAAAACTCTGCGGAGCGTCGTGCGAAAAAAAAAGAGAAACCGGCGTCAACCGGCGCGCGAGAACGAGATGACAGTTCATGTAGCGCGTTGATTAATAGTTCTAACGTAATTAGTGCATAATATTAACGATTAAAGTACCGACTAGCGATAATAATGATAATATGAATCTGTAGGCGATTGTAAGCGCGAATCGTTGATTCGCGCGGAGAATGCGAGTGCTGTTGCGGAGAATGAGAGGTCGAAGCTACACAGGGTGCATCCGACGGAGATCGGGCGGATCCGCGCGATCGTCGGGTGCGCGCGAAAAACACTTAGGTATAATTGTATATGTACGCCGTACGTATACGCGTAATTATATAATATTTGTAATGTTCGCGAGTTACAAGTATATAACAGAAGATGAGATGATAAAATGATAAAAAAATAATCCAGAAAGAGAGAAGTCGCGGGGATGCGATTCGAGCGCATCATGATCAAAGGATCGCCTCGTTCCAGGGGCAAGCGGATCCGATGATCCGTTTGATTGAGAGCTGTCGGGGCTCGACGAGATACGACTCTGTTGTTTGTTCCTGTTTTCGTTTCTCTTTTCTTGTTTTTGTTTTCACGTGTGATATATAATCCAGAGCGAGAGCGTGATCGACAGCGTCGCGATCCACGATCGCGCGCGTGTGGGTCCCGGAATTTCGCCATCATCGATTTCGTTCGTACGGGCGGACAATTCGGCAGCCCTGTGATGAAGAAAAAAAAAAAAAAAATAGTGGCGCCGAATATATGTCAGCCTCGTGTGTGCCGGTGCGTGCAATATTAATTAAGGCGTCGAAACGTCGGTGGACAACCGCGTGAATAATGGGGTACTAAAAGGGTAAAAGGAGCCGACAACGCGTGCATCCGCGAGGGCGATCGGCTGCGCGTACTTGATCATTTTTTTCTTTCCTTTCTCACCCTCTCTTCATGTTCGGTGCGATGCTGGTCGTCTTTCGACCTGACTCTCCGCGTGTCTCGTTGCCGCTTGCGCTGCCACTCGCGCGCTTATTTATCTTTACGTTCCGCGTTTACGTGCTGAGGACGTTTCGTCGCTTCCCACCTTCCTCCCGCCTTTCTTCGCCCGGAGTGCTACGCGCAAGTGCTCCCCTTGCGCCCGTGATCTTTTTCTATATCGTGCGTATGTTTCGAGAAAACGATATGGCTCAGTGTTCTGCGCGGTGTCACTGTTGTATAGCGTAACATAATAGGGGATTCTCACTTTAGGTACGTCCGTAAAGCAAGTACCCTTAATGGGGGAGGGGAGTGCACATTAGGGGCGCGTTAGTCGCGTCCGAGTGCACTCGAGCGACGACGCTGATTAGTCGGCGATTATCCGCCGGCTGCAGCTGAACACCAGGTTCTTTCCTTGCTCTTCGTCGGCGAATACGTCCGATCTCGTGTCGCGCGAACGGCCGCCATCGCTTAACCGCATGACTCTTTTCAATTTCTTTCTCTTCCTCTTTCTTTCTTTAGGATAGCTTCGTAATTAGTGCCGCGTAATCGCTCATCCGGTAATAATCCGCCGCGTTTCACACGCGCGCGTAATAATTCGTATAAGTATCCTCACCGCTCGCTCGATACCTAAAAAAAAAAAGCTCCCTTTTGTTCCCCACTAGTTTCTAGATCGTTTATAATTGTGATCCCGGATCACGATCGATGAACAATTAGTGATATTACTATTAGTCGATTAGGGGTTAAGTCGAGTACTCGTAGCGAAATATCCGCGGCGAGGAGGGGCCGTTACGTTTTCTTTTACGTGTGCTCCGTACGCATTTAGCCTTCTGAGCGTCACGAGATCGAGCACAATCGTCAGCGGACTTGTCGCATTCCGTGCGTTTTTCTTCGAAATTGACGAAGATAATAAAATGCATGAGCTGATAAAACGATTTTTTGAAATCGAACGATAATAACACGGGGTGCGGTTTGCATATTTTATCCGAAAACTCAAATCCGATTTGTTTCGGCTCGAACGAAAACGCATGGAATCGCATCGAGCGGAGGAGGAAACGCGATGCATTCAAGCGAACGCGCAATTCGCCCGAATCGCGGTTCCGTCACGACTCCTCGTAGAAATCCCTGCGAAGGACGAGAGCTGTGTGCGCGCGCTTTCATTTCCGGCCGCTTCCGTCGACGACGATTCGCGAAATCGGAGGCCCGAGTGGCCGCGCGGTCCATCCGTAATCTATGGCCGGCTGTTCGCATTTACGACGTGCCGAATTCGTTATCCTCGACGGGCGACACTGTAAATGTAACGCCGACGAGGCATCGGACAGCGTGTCACGCGGTCACGTACAGAATCGCCGCTTGCATTATACACGTACATACATACATTACACGCATTACACTCCACATTACATTATGCGCTACATAGCGATTTGTTTCTCCACGAATAACATACGTATGCGTATAAATATATAAAAGTAAAAAAAATATATATATAAATCTAGTTTTCTCCCTCGTAGTACGTACACATAGCAGTTTATTACGGCGTCATTGCGTACTGTATGATATTATAAATAGCGCTAAAAGAGAGAGAGAAAAGAAAAAACGAGACTATGTCGTGTACCACGTCAACCGAAGGGGACGCACATTTCGCGTTCAGGCCGCTATTTGCGCGCATGGCCGTCGCCGGATATGTGGCGGTATATGACTCGAATACGCGTTCGTTCGAATAGCAAACCAAAAGACGACATCATTGTGTGAAGACGCTATTACGGTATAAGAACAAAATTATACCCGTGCTGCCATTAGCGTTAAAGCAGAAAACGGAGGTGCAGTGAGTTATGAGGTCAAGCCAAAGTATATAGTTAACGAAAATACATACGAATTTATGTCCACAAAGAGACGTACGCACTTACACGTACAGAGAAAGAGAGAGAGAATGAGAGAATGAGAGAATGTTACACGTATACAACCGCACGCATACTCGCATACATACGCTTAATTGCGTAAATCCGTATATACATAGAGAAAATGTGACGGAAAAAAAGAAAGAATTTTTCGTTTTCAAGTGAGCAATGCAGAAAGATAGTGAAGAATTAGACTTATTCAATTGCAATTTTTATATTCAATTACGTGAAGAGATATATACTCTCGAAAGTGCTTCGTAAACTTGTAAAGAATAAAAAAAATGGAATTACGAAGAATCAACGACAAGAAATGGACTTTTTCATCGTTGAGATAGAAGATTTTTGATAAAAGCTTTCTCTCGCACTCATACTTATATTTTCTTCAGGCTTATACGGAGTTTCACAATTAAGTCGATTATACAATACCAGTCGATACCGATCGATAAGCATCTTAATCCCGGGATGAATTTGTTTCGCGGCACGAGAATAAGTTTAAGAACCTTCATGTTGAATAATTAGCAATCTCATCCTATGTATCGTATAATCAAGAGATCGAGCGGCCGTGAGCAGTACGTATCTAGCGGTAAAAGACACAAGAAAACTATAAGACACGAATAAGTGAACCTTGGGTTATAAACGGTTCCGTAGCATGTATCATATTCAAATGTGATCTATTTGTTGTCTGAGTTCCCGAAACTATTGTTACGTTTGCGCTTATTAGTATTATTCCTCTTCTCTTCTCACGAATGATATTTATTATTATTATTCATTACGATTATTGTGTAAGTATATTCGCGAATTAACGCTACTCAATATTACATTGTGATAACGTGAGACTCATTTCTAGCCCGGCTCTTCTAGTCTCATTAATTATTCTGTCGATACTCAGTCCGAACCTAGCTCTCCCCTCCCCCCTACCCCTCTCATCCCCGTCCCCGACTATAATAATTTGTCGAACAATACGACGCGTTGCGAGATGCGTAGATCTCGCATATAGAAAGGTGCATCCTCTGTGCAACAAATACAGTATACAATCCGTAAATATGAGGTAAATGTTGATTTGTTTAAATAAATGTAAGTTTGAAAACCCACCGTGATATTTTATTCGCGTGACGCGCGAGTATTGCTCCTCGAATAATCCAGATGAACGGAAAAATTATGCGGAGAAAATAGAATTTTGTCATTTGTATATATTTCTGTAATCGAAAAAAAAATAGTATGCGATATATATAAACGCGCTACCTATTTACATTATATTAGAAGTGAAAGCTTAATATCCAATAAGTGTTCAAGCTTTGTTTATTAAACTGTTAATTAAACAATTAAAGTTAATAATTAAACTCGTTATTAATATTTACATTTTTATTGCATGTCAAAATGTTTTAATCGCCATAACCCATTCTTACAATTAAAGAGAATTTATATTATTTAAGATTTACATATTTAGGTTAAATAATAGAAATAAATTTTTCTGTCTCTCTCTCTTTCTCTCTCTCTCTCTCTCTCTCTCTCTTTCTCTCTTTTTCTCAGTTCAAAATATAACTGCAAACTTACCGCTAAAAGCAAACTTTGCGGAGAGTGGAATATATTGTTTACAAGAACGGCTTGCCCGGCCATTTTTATCTTTCATAACCTATATTTTGCAGAAAATTGCATCTAACATAATCAATAAAATAAATCTCGACAATTAATTGATAAAGTGAATCGCGATAATCAAATTGTGCTCGATTGTTGATAAAGGTGGTATCTCACTATGCTGTTGTAGATTCACAATTTATGATAATTAGAGATTGCGTATACCGACGGAAATATAACGACATGTCAAAATGGCCGACCTAAATAAAGAGTTGAACGAGTATCTCCTCAGCAGCAAAAATGAAAAACAGTATAAAATCACAATTCCCTCGGTAGCGATACCGAAAGCGAACTTAGGAAGATGGTTTGGAAAGGACACTGACGAGACAAAAGAAGATGTAGGATGGATTCAAAGATCTCAAAGAGATTGTTGTCCTGCTATGGTAGTGCATTTTCCTATAACCTCAGTTTTGGTGGATCAACAAATACATTTATTTAATTAATATTATCTCTGATTTATAAAAAAAAAAGAAATTAATATAAGTAGTACATTTAAGATGATTTAATTATCCAAGATTTATTAATATGCAATATTATGTTTAACACAATCTCAGTTTTCTATTATGTACTTAAATACGTAGTTTCCTATAGAAAATATTTCTAAATTAAAAGTTATTTATATTTATAATTAATTATTATAATAATTATTAAGCTATTTACTATTATTAACAAGAAATTTGTATAGATAAATTGTCTGTATCATTCTTGGATTAATTAAGATTTAGATGATGATAGATTTTAAACTGTTAAATATATTGTCATGCTTTTATTTTGACAGACAAGGACGCAGAGACTCATATCCTTTGCTGTTTGTTTTTTTCTGGGACTATTGTGCTTTTGCCTGTCAGCAATTTATATTCCTGTGTTGTTACTTAAAGCAAGAAAATTTGCTCTACTTTATTCCTTAGGAAGTCTCTTCTTTCTAATGAGGTATGTATTGATATATTTAAAAATAATGTACATGAGAAGGATATTATGTTTCTAATGAAAGATTTCTTGCAGCTTCTGTTTTTTATGGGGATCAGGATATATAAGATCGTTATTCACAATTGAAAAAAGATATTTTACTGTATCATATTTTGCAACATTAGCAGGCACACTTTATTTTGCTCTACATTTACAATCAACCCCTTTAACAGTATTGTGTGCTATTTTGCAGCTGATAGCTATGTTATCCTTTCTAATAAGTCACATACCAGGAGGTACAACTGGTCTCGTGTTCTTTTCGAGAATGTTTAAGTCATCTGTAAAGTCAAGTTTACCTGTATGATAGAATTGTTACTCTTTCCTAGGATATTTCAATATTTACAATCACAAAATTACAGGTTTATAATGACAAGAGTAAGAATATTAAATTAACGAAGATTTATACGTCAAATTAACACTGTTAAGATTAACAATAGTATCAAAAGACTGATTAAATCCATTTTGATATATAAAATTATTATGTATATTGTTATGTTAATATCTCATACAATTTATATAAATATAGCAATTATCTGTATTGTCAGTTCTTTTGCGCAAGAATGCTTTAAATTGCAGTCGTTTCTATTTACTATTTAATTAACAATACAGGAAAGAGGGTCAATTTATGTATATATTGTAATTATTTATAAAAAAATACATCTTTATAAAAAAATTAATGTACAGTTATTTATTTATATTTTTTTACTATTTTTCTAATCATGTAATCATATACATTATTTACATAATTCGATTTATATTTGTTCACGAGCATCAACATATAAGATATTGTCTTATTTTTCAAAAATTGCAATGTAAATACATTATTTCTTTTTCTTTTTAGCAAATTTAGTTGCTTTTTTTCGATTGCTGTTTCCTTGTATACGTTTTATTTTTAATGGTAAATAAGTAACATCATCATTCTTACGCTTTTCTGGCACATAACGTTCTGTATATCGCAATGAATCTGTGTTGTTTGATTTTGATTCTTCCAAAAATTTGATATTATCTTTTTCTATATTCTCAAGTTCTTTTTCCTCTTTGTTGATATTTACATATCTTTTATTGCTTAATAAACCCATAGAATTTTTATTATTAGCAAAGTCAACATCACTACTTAAAGCAATAAATTCATTTGATGGTGTTTGAAAGACTTGAGAACTTTTGCTGACACTTGATGGTATGAAAGCTCTCTCTGTTCGTGAAGATCTATATTTATACACATCTGTAAATACAACAGGCTTTTCTTGTTTAGGAATGTTCGAAGTAGGATTGCAATCTGTACTTGCTTCAGATGTTTCGTCAGGTTTAAAAAGTTGGAGTGAACATTTTGATGGTTCAAAGTCTTTAAATACTTCTGCAATGGATTTATATAATGCATGGAACACATTCTCCGAAGATTGCAATATTACATCATTCTAGAAATAATAAATCTGTGAAAAATCTTGGTAAAAAAGTATATCTTTCAGATAAAAAAATAGTATATTACCTTCAAGGCAAAAGCTGCTGTGGCAAACCCAATCTTTTCTAGTGTGATTGTTTTCAAAACAGGTAACAAAAGAATAGGTATTTTTTTGTTCTGTGCCATAACAACAATATGTTTTATTAAGAGAGGCGGTTCTACATTAGCATCCAATAAGATGCAACATACATCATTTTTCTCTAGAGCTCTGGTAACTGCATTAATTCCCAAAATCACAAATTTCCTGAAATGCATATTTAAATTAATTTGATTGAATTAAATTTTAAAGAGAATTTGATCAAAAGTATTTACAGTATGTGTTCATCAGGCTTGACCCCTTTTTCTAATTCTTCTTTCCTTAATAATATACGTTTTTCTTTTTGCACATGTCTAAGCATAGATCCAGGAATTTTAAATGTTGGCCGTTTTATTAAGGGCAATAGCCTATAAATTATTTTAACATTTATTAAAATAATACTTCTTGAGATAATTCTGAGCAATATTTTAAATTATACTTACTCATTCATCAGAGTTATTAATGTTGGATATTTGTCTGTGCTTACAATAGGCCTAGTAAAAAAATTTTTAATTACTTCAAAGCATAACATAGATCTTCTTTAGCCAAATATTAATATTCAATAATATGTCAAAATCGTTAACATCAACAATAACAATTAGAAATTTACAAAATTAACAATTGATGAAATACCAATAATTTTCAAAAGGTTGTGCCAGAATATTCCGTAAACCCTTGGCAGGTCGTCCTTTTTTGGCCGATAAGCTTTGTCGTTGTTGTCCCTTGGTTAATATCAATGTACTCATGTTTATTCTGTATATTTTTTTATATTCTCCAGAATATTAAATTTTTTTTATTTAGAGTGGATTTTATTTCACTCTAATGTTAACCGAATGTTTGTCTTTCAGTTTTGTTGACACCTTCTGTTCTTTAATCTTCTCTTTGGTTATTATTATCACATCACTCTTCTCATTTGTTAATGAGTAATTTGTACTCCAAAATATTAAAACATCAAAATAAAGGTTAAATAACACTGCGCATCAGAAAGACAGAATTAATATTTAAACCATTTTTAAGAGTTAGCGTTTTCGTTAAAAAATCGATAATATTTTTTCACTGCAAAAGTATATTATTATTTCCATCACTGGCTAATTAGACTGAATTAGACCACTGAATTTTTTGTCAAAGAATAAATACAAATTTAACACGTGATCTGTAGCACGATGGAGACCTCTTACGGCAAAGTCGTAGGTTCTGTTCGTTTTAGATGCACTTTCAGCACTTATTTTCCTTGCTCTTCCTCCAAAGCTAACTTGACATGTGATATAAAGAATGTAAGAAAAAAGATTGGAGAAATCTGTTAAAAACAAGACGACATCTACCAAATTGAAATTTGACATATTATTTTTGTAAGTTATTCTAAATAATCAATATATTGTAGATCATATATTTCTAACGCTTATTTTTTATTCACAGAACATAATATGGATAAAAACATAGATGTCATATCAGAGAAGATTGATGAGTTATTGTTACATAAATTAGAATTAATGGAAGAAAAGGTTGGTGCAAATATACAAATGGAAACATTGCTGAAGGATGGTCACATTGAATTAGCCAAAGCAAAATATATTCGTGGAAAGGAGAACATCAGTATTTTGCAAGTTCCAAACAACGATGATACAATGATATCTTTATTTGATTTGGAAACTAAAATAAATAAAGATGATAATACTGCATCACTCGACATTAGTTTAAAAAAGTCAAATGATGAAGCAGAATCAAAAGATCCTATAAAATGGTTTGGTGTATTAGTGCCACAAAGTTTGAGAAATAGTCAGAAACGCTTTCAGGACTCCATCTATTTTGCTACAAAGATAGCGAATGTACAAGCAGAACTTACTTCTGTTCTCTCCAAGCTTGAGACATTACATTTGCAAAAAGATAGTTTATGCTCTCCGAATGGTATTAAAACTTAATTTAATGTAACTTAATGTACTATATATATCTACTGCTTTTTATAAAATTAAAAAGTATAGTATTTAATAAGATTATGCAATTAATAAGATGCTAAACCATGTATAAATCTGAAATGAATCAATGTGAAAAATATATGCTCTTATTAAAAACTGAAAGTTATGAAAAAACTTATTACTTACTTTTTTAATCCATGTTTACTATATATGATTTAATATACTATTATAAAAATACATATTTATATTTTTCTTATTTGTATATATTAATTGGAGGAACAGAATTGAACATATATCAATTTATTTTAATGAGAATTATGTTATCTCACAGAGAAAAAAATATAGAAATAATAATAATGTAAAATTCAATTGTATTTAACTATGAATATATAACTATGAATATTTAACTATATGCCTTTGTATTTAACATTATGTAGGATACGTATAATTAAAATTTTTATTTTTATTTTCTTTTACTTGTAACTATTTGTTTTATCTTTTGAATGTAGCGCGGAAATATGAATCGTAATTTTTGACATTGTACCAGAGGTCTCTGTCATCGACTCCTAACGGTCGCGGAAAGGGGCGACGTTCAGCTTTCAAACTGTTTCAAACTGCCAATGCAGCGTACGTTGGCTTGCGCTAGCGTACGAATATACCGTCATATGAATTGATTATTTCATCAACGTGCTGTGGTGATCGTGAACTACATTTTGCCCGAGTGAATGGCTTGTCAGTAAAATATAAGTTCATCGAGAAAACGGTTATAATACAGATCAAAATGTTATCACTTGTGGCAGCCTACGATGAGTTGATGAGGAACACGAATTACTTAATCTATGAGTCCCGTGAAGAAGGTTCGTTTTTTTAATAATCATTTTAATAGTTATGCACAATCAACATTATTATACTTTATTACGTTTCACTCATTTTGTAAGAAAAGTAAGAAAGTTTTTATGGAATTTTCTAAAATTATCAGTACTTAATAAGTTGCTCCAATATTGCAGAATTTGTAAAATTTGCCTTAAACCAAGAGGAGATGAGACAAAAATGGTTTGGCATCGGTACAGGAATGTCAACGACTTCATGCAGTCTTTGGATGAAGCTCGTAATGAAAATGCAACACTTGATAGAAAACTGCGTCATGCTAGAAGGAACTTGGAAGAAGAGAGTCGCAAACGTCGTACTGTGGAGGAACGAAAGAATTTTTTGGCAAGTGTAATATTTCGGCATAGACATTGTATCGCTACAAATTTTATTTTTTTTTATTAACACCATGCCACGTGTACCACCAGTGACCCACGCTGAACTTTCCATTCAGGTCGTTTAATATTTTGAGTATAAACAAATACATTATCACAAAACGTTTCATAACTTATTTCTACACAGAATTTTGTAAAATGTCTTTATTTTGATAATAATATATTTTTCAATCTTAAATTTATTATAACGTATATGTTTTGAGCTCCAAGAATAAATGTGCCAGTGTAGGTCATTGGTACATGTGGTCTGAATAAAAAATCATGCAAAAACGGCCCAGCACGGAATGTGTAGTAATTATTGTGGATTCTTTAGGAAAGACAAATTGCTACAGCCGGAAAATTTTTATTTACTGACGGACGATGTAATCTAAATGATGAAACTAGGGAAAAACTGCAGTTTCTTAATAATACTACTCTGAATCATCAAAGTAACACATATACTCAAGATGCGTACATGGATAAGTAAGCATAAGCATTTTAATGTATAAAGATTGATAATGCTATTGGATTATCTTATAATATGATATTGCTTTTATTTTAGACTTAACACAATAACAGAACTGGACTCCACAGGCTCAATATTAAGCGATCTTAATTGCCTATCAAAATCAGAAGATGACTTGGAAACTAGTGCTATTTTGCAGAAACACAGAAAGCGAGAATGGAAAGAACATCGACCTAGCGGTGAATACATCCCAAAGCAACGTCGCAGTGCATTGCACAAAATTACAGAACTAAATTCTTCTGACAAAATAGTGGCAACTACTACTGTAGTTATGCCAAAAGATGGCACAATTACTGCATCATCTACGATTGAAGCTGTACCTGGTGATGAAAATGCAGATCCTCAGATGTTACACAACTCACGCAAGCGGCGTAGAAGTAGTACAAATCGTAACAAATCAAAATTGTCGCACATAGAAGTGAACGAAATGCCAATTGATACAGCGGTATGTATTCAAACTATACAATTTAAGTTTTTCTTTATATTTACATTTTGTTTAAATTTTTTTAGCCATCGGCACCAGCAAAGGCTGATGTTCTTACATCAACTTCAGACTCAGAAGACATCTTCAAACCAAGTCCAAATATTGGTGGATATACTTTAAATACCAAAATGTCTAGGAGTCACAATTTTGTAGCCAAAACTGTTATTAGGCCAGAAATGTGCACACCTTGTGGTAAAAGGTAAAGTTATTCAACTGAAAAATGTCTAAATGTACAAAAATATCATTATTGTATTATTTATTATTAAATTCATAAGATTGAATTACAGTGGGAGAGAAAAATATTAATGTCATTTAATTGTAGAATCCGATTTGGAAAGATTGTACAGAGGTGCAGAGAATGCAGGGCTACAGCTCATACTGAATGTAAAGATTTGGTGCCGTTGCCATGTGTTCCAACAGGAAATACACCCACATTACGTGGTATACCTGTGAGTATCAATTGTAATTTCAATGGGATATCAGTAAGATATATTTGAACCATTATATTTTTACTCAATGTTTGGTTTGTAGGGCACCATAGCTGATTATACGCCATTGACATCACCGATGGTACCTTCCATCGTAGTTCACTGCATTAATGAGGTTGAATTGCGTGGAATGAACGAACAAGGTTTGTACAGAGTAAGTGGATCAATAGCAGACGCCAAGAGTCTCAAGGAAAAGTTTCTGAAAGGCAAAGGTGCTCCAAATCTTTCTAACGTCGATATTGCGACCATCTGCTCTACTCTGAAAGATTTCCTCAAGTACGTCGTGCAAAATTTATATTATACGTAATAAATGCAATATATATTTATTTAAATTCATGCGTTGTAGATCATTGCGCGAACCGCTAATCACTGTCTGCTTGTTGGGAGACTTTGTGCGCGCAACAACGATAACGGATAAACAAGATGCCGATGCCGCTCTTTATCAGGCAATCTCAGAACTGCCGCAACCAAACCGAGACACTTTGGCCTTTCTGATGTTACATCTACAGAGAGTATCGAGCAGTCCTGAATGTAAAATGCCTATCAGTAATCTCGCCACTGTCTTTGGGCCAACTTTGGTTGGTTACAGTTCCCCGGAACCATCTCTCATTATGTTAAGTGAAACAAAACATCAAGTTGCGGTAAGAAAAATTTCGATAATACACTATTGTTAATAAAAATCGAAAATTTAATGTGGATAATGTATTTTAGATAGTAGAAAATCTACTTCAAATTCCATCCGATTATTGGGCTACTTACGTGAACCCTACAAATTCGAATGACGCTTGTACTCCAAAAGTGGGGGAGTTAAGACATACACCATCTACAGAATCGCTTCTTAAACGCAGTACTTCCCGTTTCTTCAATACGCCACTTACTTCCAGGTTAGTATCTATACAAGTTACATATGGATTGTAATTTTATGTATATTTAGCACATATTATTTCACATCTTATTTTTATTTACAGCCGCACTTTTGCGAAAAGAAATAAGAAATATTTTGCTACACCGCCTTCTAGAGCAGGATTCTAATAAATGAATTTACTTTTGTTATACTATAACAGTTTATATAATTATATAGAAATATTTGGTCTAATATTTAACAAACTTTATGTGTAGTCTTTTGTAGATATATTGCTATATAATAAATATTGCCGAATGGTTGATTAATTTGTTTTCTAACGCAAAAGTCGTCGATGAAGAACAAAGGTGCAAACACGTTCCGCAAAGGCCGAATCTCTAATATGTCGTTTTCCACAAAAACGAGGCTTTCCCATCTTTGAGAAATGTAAATGTTTTTTTTTTTTTTTTGTCACATTAAATGACGAGAAGTGGAGATTAAAAGTAAAAGCATAACAGTTTCAAAACTGTTCTTCAAATAATACTACTAAGCAATCCATGTTCTTCACAAAACTTAATGATTACAGAGCTGACATGATCTTCGTGAAGATAGAAGCAAGGATTCGATGCTTTCAATTTCGACAATTTTTGTGTGACATCTTTTGCGTTATATTTCCATACTTAAACGTAGATGATATAATGGACATTTCTACGCCTGTTCAGTTGCATCAATTTTCCAAAAACTCAGAATTAATGGTATCTGCAAATTGAATGACGTTGAGCAAAAAATAAAATATTACAGTAAATGGAACGTAATTTCTTTGCTTCTGTCGGGTTCCATGCCAGTAGCGATATCTTGCGTGATATACACGTTTTATTAAAATTATTAATACCAATTTCAATATAAGAAGCATGTTTAAATTTCGTGTTTTAATTTTAAATACTTGAAAATATTTTATTAAATTTTTTATGTATTACAAATTCTTGCATACACAGATGTTAACTACTCTCATTTTCGTTATATCTTGGAAGATTGCGTTCAAAACACATACTAGCATCTGTGATCAGGAATATTATTTGTGTGTATTATTCATTGTATGTATATCTTCTATACTTCTATACATATATATATTTATTTATGTATGTATTTTTCTTTTCAATTCTGAATCTTGCGATAACGGTGGATTGTAGAAAATACGATTTATAACCAATATGTAGAAAATGTTACACTATTCACAAACGTTAAACAAATTTTAATCGCTGACAATTTTATAGTGACTAGAACATAACAATGTACACAATTTTATAAATACACAGCCTTATAAATATTAAATATAATATGAAAAGAAAATACAACTGATTACTGATTTACCAATTAACAGAGTTAGCAAAAGTATTTAAATTCACCCATTTCTAACGCCGTGAGATATTCGGTTAACGAGCTCCTGAGTTCAATAAATAATTTTGAAAATTATTCCATTACGTAATAGACGCTTCTTTATTTCATTCAATTCATTCATCGTTTGTATTAATGAAACATCGGTAGATTATTAAAATATAACGTAATGAGTGTTGTTACATTTTTCGTTCATTTTCTCTCGACACATTTTCTCATACGGAATAAAAGTATCTCCATTGAACTATTTATTCTTTCTTCTTGTAAGCATGTTAATTATTATTTCCTATTTTCTTTATTTTTTTCTACCTTTGCTAATACTAATCGAAAATTGTTTCAGATGTTGATAATTTGACGTAGTTTTTTGTCCATTTGTCTTCATCAAGTAAGGAATGGATGATACGCAAAACAGAAATTAAGGACGACAGATTGTCTGATCCAAAATCGAGTATTTAACGAACTGACCAATAATTCTAAACTTACTCGCGTTTTGTAATTTTGTTTCTTCTGAATTTTCATTCACAAAGGTAGATGATCTTTTGACAATTATTCTTACAAGTAGATTTCCGGCAGACAATAATGCTGACGGCAATAATAGTTCTGACCGTTTTTCTTGTGACACCACGTTCCATCTGGAAAGTATGGGTCCACTCCAATGCTGAGCATTTCTAGGCGTGGTGCGTAGTAATCAAACGTTCCTGCCTTTCGGCAGTATACAGTACATGCTATCCACGGTTTCTCGGCATCATGATGATACTGTTCTCCAGGTACTGTTTCCTTAAAATTGACCGTTAAATTTGTCAATTTTGCCAATTTCCTAAATTTGTCGCATTTCTTGGTAGTAAACTCGTCGATCGTCCATTCTTTCTTAATACAGAGTGAAGAATTATTGCATAGAACTACGTCGTAATATGGTCCTTCGCATTTCGATGATCTGACAGTCCGATGTTTGCAAAAACGTCGTTTGACTAGTATACCTTTGGATTTCTTCAAGCAACTGCTTTTACAGGAGTCTTCCTCCCATTCACCCCAGTTATCCTTTTTACAAAACTTAAAATTGTATGGCGGTTCGATGACGGGCACGCATTCTCCGCCACGACATTCTTTCCCGTGTGAACAATGAGTTCCTAAAATAAAAATCGATAAATTTAAAGTGTCCACAAAATTAATCGATAAAAATTAAGGTATAGAATCAGAAAAAAAAGACGTACCATTCAGCGCGCGTCCGGCGAAATAAGATTTACCTCTGTTAGGCGTCTCGCATTGTAAAGTTTTACATATATCAAGCAACGTGACTACGTTCGCATCCTTGTCGCGCATAAATATTTCGCATTGTTCTTTGGCGGTCCATATTCTTCCGGGTAAATCGTGATAACGCGGATTATCAAATATGTCATATGTCGACCAATTAACGTCATAGTCGCTATCGTCATTGTCATCATCGAAAATTAGTGCATAATCTCGAAGACACAATTTTCTTTGCAATATTGATTGTATTTTGTCACGACTATGCGTGGACCATTTTATTTCGCTATAAGGCTGTGCTTCAGGTGACATTATGTACGTATCCTTGTATTCTCCTTGTCTACCAATGAAATCGTCTCTCAATCCTAAACTGTTGAACATACAAATTATTAATCTTGAAAATGTGTTTTATTTTGTATTGTTAAATTAAAATATTTTTACGTATCTTATAATTTATTAATGGTTAACATACTAAACAATTAAACAATCAAATCTCTTTAAAAAATTCTCTTTACTTTTTGTGACTTTAAATTATAATAAAATAAATTCTTATAAAAAATATACTTATTCATATGTAAAATTAGTATACTTACAGATGACCTATTTCACGAGTAGCTAAAAGAGATGATTTTATACCCGATTCAATGATTTCATTTAAAGTAAACTCTACTATCGCGCATGAGAATTTCGAGTAGCATGCGCCATCGGGATAGGATGTCGATTGAATACTAAAGTTTCGAAATGTTGAAAAGTTTCCGAAACTTTGCATGATTTCCGATATGTTTGTATAATTATAAAACGATTGGTATGACATAGTTTCAAAAATATCCATTCCAGTTATGTAAAGGCCAATGTCCCAATGATTCTCATCATTGTCGCTCGGAGGATTGAGAATTTTCGAATAATTGCAGAACGAATAGAGCATTTCAATACTGTCGCCGTCTAAAACTGGCAAATTTAACGGTTGTTCATCCATAATGTTCAAATATACCAAAGAAATATCGACAGGGGCATCCAAACTCGGATGATGAAAAAAAGTCTGGATCTGATTCACATATACGATTATCATATCGTGTATCCTTGTATCATTGAATAGAAAAAACTTGAACATGCGATATGCTTCTACGTCAACGAATACGGCCAGTTCTATGGTAAATCTTTCTTGCTTCTTTTGTACACGACGTGGCTTTCGTTTAAAATTGTTCAAATGGTAAAAATTTGAATCATCATAATGTTGGACTAATCTTTTAATAAGGTGAGGTTTGCCGAATGATTGATTTATTTGTTCCTTAACGCAAAAGTCGTCAATGAAGGACAAAGGTGCAAACACATTCTGCAAAGGCCGAATCTCTAATATGTCGTTTTCCACAAAAACGAGTCCTTCCTATTTAAAAAAAAATATATATATATATATATATGTGTGTGTGTTTTACGTGTCATGCTTAAATATAAAACGGAGAAAAACAAAGATTAAATATAAAAATATAACAATATGATACTACTAACAAATCCACGTTCTTGACAAAAGTTGAGGGTCGTAGAGTTGACACGATCTTCGTGAAAATAAAAGCAAGGATTCGATGCTTTCAACTCCAACAACTTTTCTGTGACATCTTTTGCGTTATATTTCCATACTGCAAACACAGGCGATGCGATCTGGTCGTTTCTACGCAGATTCAGCTGTATTAATTTTCCGAAAACTTTTAAAGTTAATGGTATCTGCAAATTGGATGACAATTAAGAATGGACTTGTAATTTTCGAATTAGGCAACAATTAAAACACACAGTAAAAACACACGTACCTCTTTTGCTTCTGCCGGATTCCACGCCGGCAGCAACATTATTTCTTGCGTGACATACGCGTTCGTTTTATTTATTAAAATTATTATTACCAATTTCAATATAAAAAACATGTTTAGTTTTCGTGTTTCAATTTTAAATATTAGAAAATATTTTATTAAAGTTTTTTTATATATTACAAATTTATATATATATATATATATATGTTATAAAACTATCATATGTATACCTTAGAAGACCGTGTGTAAAACACAAACTGGCGTTTATGATTAGAAATATCATTCGTATCATGATATTTGTTGTGTATACATTGGAGTCAAAAGTACGCCAATGGACATCTATTGCACGCCACTGTTTTCAGAACACATGCGCGCTTAATCTGGTATATTTGAGAGTATTATTGTAAGGTTAGAATTTATTAGCGGCATATTTTTATTATAAACAATTATAAACATAAGTGATAAACTTATACATACCGCATTTGTGTGCAAAAAATATAGAAAAAGTCTGATTTTTTAAATTTGAGTATAATTATCAATATCAATTTCTAAAATCACAAATGTACAATAAAATGAATGTTCGCTCTTTGTTAAGGTTATATTCCGCTATTAAGCATGTCAATTTTGAGTATAGATTTTACTGTAACAGAAATATATTAAAACTTCATGAAAGAGGCATGTACGAGGATATATTTCCCAATAATAGTACGTAAGTATATGAAACATTATCATAGTTTAACTTTATATATCATCAATATTGTAATATTTTATATTGTATTATATTTTGTGATATACTTAAATGTTATGTACATTTTTTTAGAAATGAAATAGTAGATTTGCTGCATAAATCACCACAATGCGTCTATGCTGGTTTTGATCCAACAGCGAACAGTTTACACATTGGCAACTTACTCATCCTAATGAATCTCTTGCATTGGCAGAGAGCAGGACATCAAGTTATAGCTCTAGTAGGAGGAGCTACAGGTTTAATTGGTGATCCTAGTCATAGAAAGTCTGAACGCGTTGAAATAGAAAAATATTTAATTGAGGAAAATGTCAAGTGTATCACAAAGAATATAGAGACTATTTTTAATAACCATGCAGATTGTATTTGGAAAAGCAAAAAAGAAGATCTAAAACCTCTAATTGTAGTAAACAATTTGGACTGGTATACAAGTGTAAATGTTATTGACTTTATTCGAAATATTGGAAAATATTTTAGAATGGGCACAATGCTGGGTAGGTCTTCTGTCCAATCACGATTAAATTCTGACACAGGAATGAGTTTCACTGAATTCTCTTATCAAGTATTTCAAGCATACGATTGGTTTCAATTGATGAAAAAGTACAAGTGTCGATTCCAGATTGGTGGAAGTGATCAAATGGGTAATATTATGTCTGGACATGATTTTATCACAAAAACTGGAAAAAATGAAGTTTATGGCATGACATTGCCGCTCATAACAGCGGAAGGTGGAAAGAAATTTGGAAAGTCTCTATTGAATGCTGTGTGGTTATCCCCAACAAAATCTTCCAGCTTCCAACTATTTCAATATTTTATTAGAACTAAAGATTCTGATGTTGAAAAATTCTTAAAACTGTTTACGTTTATATCACTGCATAAAATTACTGAAATTGTGGATACTCACAAGAAAAATCCAGAAGAGAGAATAGCACAAAAGTTATTAGCTGAGCAAGTCACACTTTTAGTACATGGAGGTAAATGTTATGGACAAATCTTATACAAATGTACATATATAATTTATTATTTTAATTTATTACAATTTTTTACAGAGGATGGATTGTTGGCGGCAAAGCGTGCCTCCGCAGCATTGTACGATAAATCAATTGAATCTTTTACAAGAATGAAAGCATCAGAGTTAGCAGATGTGTTTGAAGGCGCAACGATAACAGATATCTTATCCGAACCAGGGATTACAATATACGATCTAGCAAAAAAAGCAAACTGCTTTAAAACTGATCATGATGCACAACGAATCATAACAGCAGGTGGATTTTATATAAATCATCAAAGAATTACTAATTTAAATGAGGTAGTTGTACCTGGCATACATATACTAAGTAATAATTTGTCATTAATTAGAGTTGGTAAAAAAACGTATCATATAATCCGATGGCAATAATATTATAAAGAATATGTACAAATGTATAATAAACAGAATAACTTTAATAGTTATCATAAATATAACAATTCTTTCCTTCAATACATATAATATGAAAGTATTTAAATTATGCAATATATAAACATTTTTATACATTTGTTTTATATAAATTTGCAATGTGTGCATCTGTAATTTTTAAGTATATAAATCCCACAGTGATATATAACCATCTTTGCCAGTTGCCGCCATAAAACACTTAGTATCATAAGCTTTGACTTCACACTGTGAATAAACAATGTCATATAGACTTTCTCTATGTTCTTTTAATATTGCAAGTGGCCGTGTTTTTTTCCAAGAGAATAACATTATACGTCCGTCCCAGCAACCAGCTGTAACGATTTTTTTATCCGGTCTTACAGAAAGGATTGATATGCCCTTAACATCCAAGAATTTTGTAGATTTGTGGGACAAAGAATGATTCGATGATATTTTGAAAATCTATAAATTTATGCATAAATCATTCTTTTTATAGCGCTATTCATTCTTTCAAATACACAGAAAATTATAAAAATTATTAAAATTAGTTTGTGTAATACCTCTAATTTTTCTGATCCACCACCAAGAATTCCTTGCATCAAAGAAGTATCAAAATCCAAAGTCATGGGACATTGCTGTACAGCGAAAGAACTAAGAACATTATTCATTCTCATGTCCCACAACAATAATTGTCCACCCTCGTAAGCAGTCAAAACTAAAGTATCCATCATATCCATCAATGGTTTCACCGCCATCACTTCACCCAGCTTATTATAAGATAGTTTCAATGGATCTAATTTCAATTCCATATTTAAAGTTTTCAATGATGACATTCCTACTACTGAAGAATTAAGTGGGACCAATATTGCATTCTTCTCAGGTAACAATTGTGACCTATAATACAAAATTTTAGTACTATCTTCAACAAATTTATAGTATTTACTTGATATACCTGCAAAAACTGGAGTATTTATAATTGAAGCTTTTATTTAATATCCAACTGGATTCATTTGCACTGTATATATCTATTATACCATTTCTTCGTTGTACTATTAAATTAGTGTCATTAGTTGTATGCAAATTAAAACATGGACTATTTCCATCTGATAACTGACTCTTTATCCTGTTTATCTACAATAATAAAAAAAATTATTAATTTAGATATCTAAAAATTCTTGATTTTTACATATAAGAATAAATATAATTATTAAATAATTAGATTTATACATAATTTGCTAAGAACAAATATTTACTTTTAAATCCCAAATATGAACTGTGCCTTTTCCATCACCAGCATAGAGATGTTCTACATTTGAATTAATCCGAAATAACAAACTATAAACATTTTCATCCATATCACCACGCAATATAAATTTTGGATCTGGAGGTGCAGAAGGCATTGTTGCAGTTTTTATCTTTAAAATATTGCTGAAAAGAAATACGAGATACATATAATAAAAACAACATAATAATGCATCGAATCTGTCAAAATAAATTACTTCAAATTATTATTTCAATAAAACATTGTGAATATTCTCCAGAAATTCTCAATGTGTCTTATTTAGTTTTTTCTAAATTGTTACTCCAAAATAAAATTTATTCGCGACTCCATTTACAATCACAAACAATTACAAACAAACTATCTCCATCTGTATTAACTTGTCAGAAACATTATAGAACCACATAGAACTATGAGAAAACCTTAGCGACTTTTTAGCTAGTGACACAAGTAACATAAGCAGAGAGACATAAGTATCATTCTATCTTTGTTCGATATTGGATATATTGGATATAAACAGTAGAACGTCGCCACCAGTCGCTGAGTCGCCACTTGAAGCAACTTGAAGCTCCAATAAGAAAGACGTGCTTCGCCAGTAATTTTCACAGTAGTTTTGTTCGTCGGTAAAAGTGGTATATCGAATAGTGTCAAATATACAAATATTTTATTAAATAGAATTGTTGTGATAATACATCAGTCAAAGAAATGCAAGATTTATATTTTTTTATTGTTGTATCGGCGATCGTTGTTTTACTTATCGCATTTATTGTAGTTGTGTTTGAAAGGTAAGGGATATGTGTTTATTAACATAAATGTGTTTAATAATGCATATGAAAAATTTCTTAATTTTTTTACAGTATTCTGTGGGTATTTATTGTTGTCAGCATTTTTGCAACTGCCAGTTTTTATGCTGTTCAAGCGGTGCAATTTGTTGATAACTTACTAACAAAGTTCAATATCACAAGTGATAAATTTATTACGAAATATGAAATAAAGGATTCATGCAATGTTTGCAATAATAATAGCTGCAAAAGGCATAAATTATTGCCACATTCAACAAAGATCAAAGTACCCAAGGATTTTGATCAGGCATTAGAACAGGTAATTATAATAATTGTTACATTTATTAATATAAGACTTGTATATGTATAAATATATGCATGAAATACATTTTATTCATAATTGATTATTATAAATTCCATATTTTATTTGTATATAAATAATATACATAAAATTGTATTATCTTATTGCAGCTTCTAGAAGAGATACTGCAAAATTATGTGTGCACATGGTACTCCAGTTTTTCAGCAAATGAGGCTTTTATACAACAGCTACGTTTAGCTATAACAACAGCGGCAAAAAATATTGCTCTTCGATTATTGCGTGCAGATATAGGAACCATAATTTTCTGCGATTTGATTCCTTTGGCTATACAACATGCTCAAGATTGGAATGTACTTCTCAAAAAATCACAGTCTGGAGTTAAAATACCTCAAGATTACATCGGAAGTTACTTGAATTCTAAAATTCACCCAGCTGCTTATACAAGAAAGGCTGAGCTGAATTATTTACGAGGATTAGCCACTACATTGGTGCCGCATTTATTACCTGCCATACATGTCTCGACAAACAACGAAGTAATATGTTGTTTCGAGATTAATCTTGATTTCCATATGTAAATTATTTTAAAAATTTATATAGAAAAAAAAGAGAATTGGTCTTATAATATTTTATATGCTTTTTCAGTTTATATGTATTTTTAGGTGATACTTCGAGAAATTTTGGCAAACTGGGTGCTTTTGCCAGCAATTGATGCACTTGCAGATCCAGAAAATATAAATATGTTAGTGACATTATCCACTCATCACGATACCTCTCTGTCTAATGCTGCAGAGGCCATTCATGTACCAATGCTGCAGTCTTGGGTGACAACTCCAGCAATACATCCACACATACACAATTACTTTAAGCCGTCTTTGAACGAAGTCTTGAACGATCCTGAACTATTATATATGTTTATGCAACACATCAAAGAATCTGGACCCATGAATCTTCTTCAGTTTTGTTTAGATATTGGTATATATAACTTTTCATGTAATATATCATTTTTTGAAAATAATTTATAATTAATATTATCGGTTTTTAGACGATCTTAGTAAACGTATGTTAAATCCAGAAATGTCGGCTAGTGCTGAGAAAAGTTTATATATAGATATTCAAAATATGTACACGGTATATCTTGATCCTGACGGTTCAGAATATTTGTATTTACCGTTGCATATATCGAAAGGCATACGGCAAAGTAAGTAATTTGTAAGTAAATAATTTGAATTTTCAACATCATTAAATATATATGTGTTTATTTTTAGTATTGGAAGGCGGTCCAGAAAGAGTTCAAGAATTAAGAACGTCACGACCTTTCTATCAAGCTCATCAAGAAGCACACGCACTTCTCGAAAGTACTTGTCTACCATCATTCCATCATAGCTATCAAGTAAAAATACTTTACAATTTATATTTTATTAGAATTTTTAGCTGTAAATGGGTTAAACTTTTAATCATAAAATTTGACTGTTGTAGTTGTATAAATTTTTGTGCGGTCACTTAGTATCTGCACAAGCAAAAACTGCTGCAGCCAAGTGAGTATGCTTTTAAGTAAACACGGGCTTAGTTAAGCTTAAGTTTTTCAAAAATATATATGGTTTTGATTTTCATATTACTACCATTTAGTTTACTTTACAATTCTCTTATCTTATTATTTGTTTACTTCAGAATGAGTGGAGATGTATCTACTTCTGTGCGATCCACCAATAATATACTGGGCAAAATGGACGGTGTTTTACGTACAGCAATGGACGGTAGCTCATTTCAGCTACAAGACTATCCGGTCGAGGAAGTAGATTGTACGGCTCGAGCATATAATGAAATCAAAGGCTTCGGCGATAAGTGTCACCGTGATTTAACGACGTTGCGAGTTGCCGTCTCACACGTGGACGGCGGCGGCGCGCAACCAATGTACATGATCGCCATCCATAGCGTAGCGGAGGCTAATTGCAAACCGTGGACAGTTCTGCGACAAGATCAAGATTTCTACACACTCCGTACGCGACTTGCTGAGTTTCACGGCGATAAGGAATTGAGCGATTCGCCGTTACCGTCGCGGAAAAACCCGCATTTGCCTCTCACAGCAAATTGTCAACGTTACGAGGAGTTTTTGCAGAAGCTACTATCCAAGCCGATGTTAAAAGCAGTGAGCTTCTCTATACTTTCCTCACGACGCCGAACTTGAAACCGTACTTTGCAAACTACAGTACACCCGACATCGGCATCCTCTATCAAAGCATGGCTTATAAATTGCGGAAAGAAAGGGGACAGCATCTTGACAAATTTATGAGCACTTTCTTGGCGTCTATAAACCCAAAATATGAACACATGGATATGGGCGTCGAACCGTCGAGCGAACACAATCTAAACGAAATGGAAAGCAGAGGTAAAAAACTGTTGGATGGAGTGTTCGGAAATAATCTAAATCTACCTACTGCTTTCCAAAATTTTCCATACAACTTACCGCAACGTAATCACGTGAAAGGTGTGAGTTTATGCATCATTGAAGCTGGTAAGATTCAAAATATTCTTCACATATTTATTTGTATTCCAAAAATACAAGATTGTTGATAACGATATTATTGCAGTGAATAGTCTGCTGAATATACCTCCGGTTATTTCGCGATTTCTCTGGATGTTTGCTTCTTTATCGCGTAAAAGAGTGGATCCTATCGTAAACGTAATGTTCTACAACATGCTGATCAAGCTTCTAAGTGGTGGCCGTGCTGCTATCGTTGTCAAGCTCTTGCATGCAAAAATAATAGATGAAAATTACATGAAAGACTTCTCCTTGCAAGGAAAATGTCGAGATGATTACTACGATTCCGCCAAAGAGGGCCTGTATTCTTTGTTACCGTGGTGGTTAATGCCATTTTCTAAACCTTGGAAGAAATTGATGGATTCTTTATTAGATCCTTTACAAAATGCACCTTTCAATAAACATCTGGCATACTTTTTGCTAGATCATCTTTTAGTAAATCTTTTCCCCGAAGTAACAACGTAATTGTTAAAACAAGCTATTAAAGCGAATATATATTGTACATATAATGTTATAAAATGACTTACAAATTTTTAAATATTTCTCATGTATATACACGTATAATGTAATTCTTTCGTAAATAAAAAGTGAAACTTATTAAAACTTTCTATACAGAAGTGAGTAAAACATTTTTGTAAGAAGTGGCGATAATTATAATATGTAAATATAAAAAGTTGTTTTATTATGAATTATTTTAACGAATAATGAATAATTTGAATAAATCTACTACATAATTGTTAACCGATAAGAAAAAGTTCTAATATATTGATAGATGATAAAATCATTTCCTCTACATAAAAAAAATTGTTATCGACGTAAACGTAACGCGGCGTTTCTAACGCCATTTTCTTTTAAATAATTTCCGGAAGAAAGAGAAATAGCGTAATGAGATCGGTAGGTGCTTTTTATTTATAAATTTTATGTTTACGATATATATTTTTATATACGCCTTCATACGTGAACTGTGTGAGCTGCAGATAATTGTAATACATTTGTTTTTTATTATTAGGCTCCACACATTAAGATTGTTATAACAAATTATATGACATACATTATAGGTTATAAAAAATTGCACAACAATATCGAGGTATGTAATTCGAATATTACACATAGATTATGTTTCAATGATTATTTTCCATGTCCATTTCGAGACGCTTTCCAAGTCTGACATGATAAATATCTTTAAACGTGAATAAAGTAAATAATTATTTTGCATCAACAAAAATATTAAGATTTAATATATAATACAGATGTAAGTAAATTCTCATTTTTGCACTTTTATTATTGCGAAATTTTGTACAGTAAAATTTAAAATGTAAAGTTTCTATTAAAATTTGTATTTCATGTTGTTACTAATACTTTAAAATTGATAACAATAATAATTGCATGTTAATTAACATAGTAATTAAGGAACAGTTTTACAACTGTTTGATTTCCGACAACATCCAATCTTTAATTTCATGAAAAATAGTTGATTCTGTGAGCCGTAGCACATAATTTTTACAAAAAGTTATCAAAAACTAACTGCTTAAAAATGTTTTACAGATTAGAATTGATATGCGGAGCACGGCTCCAAGAAGGCTGGGACATCAAAGATGAACGACGGAATAGGGCTGGGAACCACTCAAGCAAGTGAGTAAAAAGTGTGATGGGAGCAGCGAGACGGAGAGAAGAGGCACAGCAGCGGCAGACTGGCTGGTGGAGCGGGTCCAAGAATGATAGTGCGAGTGAGGGACGACAACGTGTCCAGAGAGAGGAATAAGGACGATGGAGTTAACGCAGGAGCGTCGCTGCGACACTGTCCCAAGGTACTGGGCCTTATTCTTGATATTTTCATTTCGACGAAATTGCGATGCTCTTCATAATTTCATCTTGCATAGCGTTTATTTAACTGAAAGTTATAAAAATTATTATTTACCAAACTTGCATTGGTTTGGCTGAATTTTATTTGTTGTTGATCCCAAAAGAAAAGAATAGGAACAGCCTCAGCATAATTTTATCCAAGAAATGCTGAACTCATTAATTTTTTAATGTGGATTTATTGTATAATTTATAGTTCTGTATCAAAACGAAATAGGTTTTTTGAAATAATTTTGAAGCAAGTAAAGATATTGATGTCGACAGATGAATGCAGCGATATTGATGACACTGTCATGCGTTGAGATTATACGGTCCGCGGTAAATCGCGACGGATTAACGCGGGATTAAAAAGTAAAACGAGTGGATGCAGCGCGCGTGGAATGGCATCGACGCGGCGGTCCTGGAGTCGGCATCCAGTGGAGGGGCGGCGATCCATGGTAGAAAAGGAAGGGCCAGTAGAACGGAGCGCGCTGGAACGGGGTCCAAGCACACGTTCGACGCGGCCTTGCCTAAACCTCGTCGTGATAGTTGGCTCGCTCTCAGCTGCGCGTACCCACAAGGATCGGGAATAGATCTCTTCGTCGTGCTTCGCGACACAACATTGCGACGTTATTCTCGGGGGGAAAAAAAAAGAAAGAAACGAGACGCGCACGAGTGTCTGTCGCGTCTCCGTCAACGGCGCTTCTGCATCTCGCAGTACGTATCGGAGCAACAGGTAGAAGAAGGAGGAAGAGTAAGCTGCCAGCAGCAACAGCCGCGACAGCAGCAAGAGATCAAGGAGCAGGATCCGTGCATACGTGCGCATCGGCGTGGAACTCGGCGAGGCCGGATTCCGGTGCGCCCTGTGCGTGCGTGCGTACGTACGTACGTACGTACGTGCGTGCGAGTGAACGCGGGGACCTGTTGATAGGTCGCGCAGGTGTACGAAGGAGGGCCGCGAGATCCCCCTTCCGTCCCCTCATCCCCGCCGACCAGCAGCAACGACGGCAACGACGAGAGAGCGCACTCCGGTTCACGGCGCGTTATGACCGCCTGATCGGCGAAGAGGATTGCCGCGCCTCCTGCCCATCGGGGCCAGATGCCCGGCCGTGTGGCTCGCGAGGCCGTATATGGTACCGTGGAAGAGAGCGCACCGCGACGACGAGTAATAGCCGACCAGGAGCGCGGATTTTGAGTGAAACCGCGAAATTCGCGGAGTCCGTCGTCGTCGTCGTCGTCGTCGTCGTCGCCGCTACGCCGTTTCCCTCCTCGGACGCTCCGGTCCGTTCTTTCCTCTCCCCCCCGTACCCCCCTCTCCTCTTACCGCGCGCGGACTGACCGTCGGCCGTCGGACACCGGAGGAGTGCCCTCCTGGTTTTTGCGTTGTGGACCGCGCGCGCGAGTGGTGCCAGTGTGAGATTACGCTCTCGTGGTGCAATCGTGGGGCCCCCGTTGAGATGCCGTGGCTGCTCGAACTACGGACTCGCGATTAGTTAGGTGAGCAAAGGATTCCTAAGTCTTTTTCTCTCTTTCTTTCTGTCTTTCCCCTTCCTTCTTTCTCCCCGTCTCGCACGCGCGATTCTGCTTCCGTCTTTATTTCTCCGCATCTTCTTCGATCTCCTTTCCTGTTTTTCTTTTTTTTATTTCCCTTCTCCCCCCGCGCTACGTTTGTCTCTCTCGCGGCTCTGCGAAGCGCGCGGCGCACTCGCGCGACCGCGAGATTCCTTCTTCTATTTCCTTTCTTTTCCGATCGCGTCCTACCGCTCTACTCTCCGACCCACTTCTTCCTCAACCGCGCTCATTGTCGCCGCCGTCGCCGCTGCTGCTGCCGTCGTCGTCGTCGTCGTCGCCTGCCGCTGCCCCGCCGTCGCCTGGCCCGATTATTTTAGACGATGACGCGCCTACGCTATATGTGATCGCGCGCGAGCGCGAGCGCGCCCGCTCCGCGCCGACCTTATCCTTGTGTATTCCAGCGCGCCGCATTCCAGCGTCCGCGCTGGCAGCGGCGCGCGCGCGAATGCGAATGCAAATCCGCCGTTTCGCTCGCGTCGGATGTTGTTTCCAGGTAGCAGAGCGACGCGGAGAGAACGATGCGCAGAACGCGCGGTTGTTTACCAACGCTCGTGTGGTGCAGCGCGAGTCGCCGAGACGAAGGAGAACGAGAGAGCCGGTGCCGCCGGAGTTAATTTCTACGGAAACCGCCACCGCACCGTCCGCTAACGATCCCGTCGTCGAGCGCACGGGTGGTCCCCTCGAAAACGCAACGTTATTTTCCCCCTGTCGCTCCGGCATACCTGGCTCGGGGACCGCTCTATCTATCGCCGGTGGTCGAAGGGGGCTGCCGTGGTCGCTGGAGCGCTACGTGTTTACCTGCGTACTCCGAGGCACCTTTTGCTCCGGCGCTCGAACGTGAGCGCGCGCGCGCGCGCGCGCGCCCACCATTAATGCACCGCGAGGAATGCAAGCGTGACGAGCCTTTTCCGCGCGAATGCGTCCATCGGTAAATTCATTGTCCTTGAAAAAACAAGTTGGTCGCTGCTCGAGAGAGGCGTGCTCGAAAAGAAAGGATTTGTGAAGGTATTACTTAACGCGCAACGCGAGAGCCGCGCTCCCGGCTGCCGCGCCGCGACGGTTCCGAGAGAGCCAAGCTCTCCGCGCGAGAGGCGGCGGCGGCGGCGGCGGCAGACAGCTTGGCTCTGGTCCCACCAACCTTTCTGCCCCTCTGTCTCCGATCGTTCGTGCGTGCCAGGGCCGCATACAAGAGGCCCGGCAACGAGACCCTCGAACCGCGGATGAGCTAAAACGGAATATCCTACGAGCACTACAAACCGCCATATTGTATCTCTGTCATCTGCTAAGGACGCGAGGAAAGACGCGTGATCAGTGCGAATCGAGAGTCTAATTAATTTTAATCTTGCGACTGTCGAATTGTCCAACTAACAGCTCTAATCGCTCTTTGCTCTGTCCCTCTCTCTTCTTCTTCACTTTATTTCGTAATTACTCTATTATAATTTATATATATGATATATATAACTTGATCGACTTTATTATAAATATATAATTATTGAATGATATCTGTGTGATATAAGAAACATTAAAAAAGATGAATAATAATACATAGTCGGAAATGTTATCGTTGATAATTTAACACTTGCATTGGTAGAAAAAATAAACGCACATATTTGCTACGCGAATAAAAATTTGATCGTTCAATAAATTCAACAATCAATAGAAAGCAGAATATTGTATAATATTTCTTTCATAGCTCGTTTCGGAAAACATAATTTAAAGATAATAAAAAAGATAGCGCCTGTTGATTTTGTGGCAAAAGAAAGCGTTGGCTTCCAGAAGACATGTTTAACACTTCCGAGAAGGGAATTATTAAATTTAATTAGCGTGCGTATAGCATCACTCTTAATAAGAATACCAAGCATGGACGAATACCAAGAACTCGTGCCGCAACATTATGTGCTTGTTTTATAAAACCGAGAAGAGGAAAATATCGTGTTCAATTACAAGAAGTGATATTTTACCAATAATGTATCTCCTTAATGCACTCATTATGTATTATGATTTATTCAGATGCATTATTCGTATTGGATTTCGTCTTGTTGAAACATTTTTATTAGAGCATTTCTTTTTCTCTTCGACGTAAAGAATATTTTTTTTATCTTGCCTTCTTGATTATTTGAGCGATTAACAATTTCTGAACGAAAATGTATCGATTCCAAAATAACGCTCAAAATTTAGGATTTAAAAATCCGTGAAATCCTTATTTAATCTTACTTTATTTTAACAGCGTAATCACATTATTGTAATTGCAGAGAAAATTTATGAAGGCAAAAATCTAAGTATCATATTCTGCCGTAACAATTCTGTTGCTAAATTAATTTCCACTTATTATTGCCGTCTTATAAATACTTTTTCATTCAATAACTGATGTACAAGATTGAAATAAGTCTTCCTTGTACAACAACAAAAGAGGCTTGTTTCCATCTCGCATGAGTGTTACGCGTCTTTCTGCGCCTCGCGCGTCGATATTCGTAATGCTAACAGGAAGGCATTCGCCAGTCTTAGCATTTTACACTGAATGAAATCGAGAGTGGAACACATATCCGTTGAACACATCTACGATAAAAGGCTGCGCGCGCGAGCGAGCGCCACGTCACATAAATATTCCGCCTTTGAGAAAACGCGCGTTTAAAATCGCGGATAAAACCAGTTTCATCCGCCCGCGACGGAACTCTATCCACTGTTAATATGCGTAGCAAGTATGTCACGACACAATATTGTTCGATCAATCCCGAAATTGCAGTCGTGACGGGCTGACGTTTACGCTCTAAGTGGCAAACGCGGCTCCTTCTTCCGACCTTTCTAGAAGCTACACTTTGTTGTAAACAAATCGTACGTATTCATATTATATATTATAATTGATCGATTGAATGAATAAGGAAGCTAAACGGTCATTCATTTTAGTTTGACATCTAAAAGTCCATTGCAGTTCTTTGATCGAAAGTCAACAAGTGTTTTCAATCAATTATTTGTGTGCAGTTTTACTGATTCAACTGATATTTATAACTCTCTCTCTCTCTCTTTCAAATTTATTTTATCAACTTCTAGCACGAGAAACATTTTATATTAAATCCTGACATGCCTCTCGAGTCATTACATATAATTTTTAAACTTGACAGACTTAATTATAAAATATTACTTACATGCATTTCGCTATATATTCACATTTCTATTGTTAATAATAATAGAGCAAATTACAAAGCTAATGACAGCCAGTAAGGAATACACGTTCAACCGGATATAATTTTCGATTAAATACTACTAGTTCAGTTATCAGCAAGGGACTTGAATGATAAGAAATTACTTACTTTGATAAGAAATTATTTCAAAACTTTCAAAAAATGTTAATAATATTTATTACGCACTATCGATTTCTCTATACTTTTTATTAATCTTGCTCATCTAATCTATTTCGAAATACTTCGAGGATATTTTCGTATCACCATATATAAAAACGTAAAAAAAAAAAAAAAAAAACGTTTGAGAGTAAGAGAAAGCGATTACTTTGAAACAAAGCCTGATTCGAATCCCTTCACATTTATTGGCGGTCCCAAGAACCGATGACCAATCAATTCGGGCTCTGGGTCTGATCTTCCTTCTCATTTTGTGTCGACTCAGAGAGATTAGGCACTTCCCTCCGAGTAAAATTTCCGATAGTCGCTGACATTCGGGAGAAACTAAATTTGTGTTACGATTGTCTTGAACAGTCATGAGAAATTATAAAATTAACACCGCTCTAAGTAGCTTTTATTGAAAATTTAATGAAGGCGTCCAAAAATTGTCTTTTATTTTTTTTATCTTTTCGTGGTGGTGATTGAATTAGGAAATTTTTCACAAACAATTTGTGAAACTGATTTCTAAACAAAGTGATTTATCTTATTTGGCATCAAACTGTGTTATATGATTCATTTAACCTTTGCTGCCTATTTCAAACATCTATATCTTAAGGATTATAATTTATCTCTAAAAAGGTTGTCCCATCCCTTCCCAAAATTCTTTTGACCAAAGTGCAGTCCCTAATGAACTCTTCAGTCTTGCTGTCGTCCAGTTAGGTAAGAGGCTCCTTCAGTTCTTTTCGAGACCCCTCTGGAGAAACCCAACTGGAACATTCGAGTTCAGTTCCTGTTGAAATAAAAAAATCGTAAGGGTGTTTATACCTAATAAGCCACTTTCTTCATACAATTGTGAAATTTATAAAGAAAATCATTCCAATTTCAATTAATATTCAAATAATTAATCGCATTAATCGTTTCCTCTATCGACATATCATTTTCTGTTGAAATCTCGTAATTGCTTTCAGCGATTCGCCACAGATCTTCAATTAAAGACGGCTCTTTTTAACGTTTTTTTTTTGTTTTTTGTATTTTAGGGAGGTAACGTCAGTGAGTGACGACGTCACGATGCGCATGCCGCCGCTGCTGAGATTAGTGCTCGTGGCAGCAGTCGCGCTGCTAACAAGTGCGAATGCTAATGCAGAGGCGCTCTTAAGCACGGACACGACCGCACCATCGTCGTCGTTGTCGGAATCGCATCATTTCAACACGGAGAGTCGCGAGCAGGTGATCGCCGGGATGGAGGCCAGCCTCATGTCCCTCATGGGCATCACGAAGAGACCGAAGCCGCAGGGCGAGACCTATGTTCCGGAATCACTCAAGAAGCTTCATGCTCGTCAGAACAGCATCGGTATCGCCGACATCGCGAAGCCGGGCCTTCACACGCGATCAGCTAACACCGTTCGCTCCTTTCCACATGTCGGTGAGTGGATTTGTGTTTCATTAATTGGAAGAAAATGTGAGAGGCAAAGGAGAAGAATTATTTTTAGAAAGATCCCTCGCGATTAAAAGATTAGATTTATATAGAAACGTAATGTAGATTTTTACGAACAAAAAAGTAATATTGTCACAAAATAGTTGAATTGAGGATTAACTTTTTTCGTACAGTTGTGTCATGTCTCGATTTCAGTTTATAAACTTTCTCAATTTTCGCGGATGAGCAAAGTTGCGATTATAATAAAATTACAAACTTGTGACATATTCGATAGCTACGATAACAGTTACAAGATAAATCTGTGGTGCATTTATATTAATGCTGCATTTACACATGCGTTGCATTTCCTCGGGTTTGTGTCGCTAATATATTTTAAAGCAATGATGTCGTCAATATATATATATATATATTTTGAAACACATACGTGCAAAATTAATGTTATCAATCTATGTGAATAAATAGATAATAACATAGCATACGCAAGCGTACACTTTGTTGCACACTTGCGAATCGTGAATCATTGAACGATGGTAAGAACTAGCGAGTTGAGATTCGTAATTCGAAAACAGGTTGGCGACTCTTTCGACTCTCAGTGAAAGTGCAGTAGTAAATGGAATGCAATGCACTCGTTATCAATCGTCATTCGTTCCACGTTGTCAGTAAACGTGAATGACAAATTTTCGAAGGATCGCGCTTTGTCGATTCGACAAGGTACTTTTCTCATGTATGTCGATGTGATGCCATTCAGAACTCTGTATCATTGCGCGATTATGCGACTTTGTTAGATTTTTTCTGGAATTATTCGCTCTTTCATGAATAACGAGATTAAATATAAGAAACTTCATAGAGAACTTCTCGTATAAAACATCTGCATTAAGAAAAAACGTTGAATCAGAGATGTTTTGTAGAATTTATGTAAATATAAAGCATTGATAATTGATAAAAATACTTGTAATGAAACTAATTCCATCATATAAACAATATGCTTTTCTTTCGCTTCGTTCACATAAATTTTTTAGTCGTTTATTGTCGGTAATTTCGGGAAGACATTATGTATTCCATAAATTACAGGTTTGCGCTAAGTGTAACTGGCATAATTGGCATAATTGTACATATTAAGTTTATTCCAAGCCGCGGTGTGCAGGAAATGATTCTTCCCCTCCATAAAAAATTTACGCTATCATTCAGCGTAAATAACGTATCGCAAAAGAAACTTGAATAAAATTTCACACTTAAATCTTTTTCGTATTTTGAATATTATTTATTAAAATTTGTTTATATAACTTGATTGCACGTAAATCTATCAACATAAATTTCTCTAAATAGTTCAATTTTTTTATAATATTTAGATTTCGCTGTGAAATGATAGAAAAATTGCATAATTACATCTGGAAGTATCGAGATTTTACTAAAATGTTTCAAACATGGTTTCAAACATTGTATAACTCGTATTTTGCATTTTCCATTTATTTTTCCAGACATATTTGATTGACATACATATTCTTTCATTTCACTAAAAATATTGATCGGGTTGAAATTACGATTTCCCGTGAATTTAGAGCGCGAAGAGAAGTTCGTGAGATCATACTTTGTGTTCGCGCGACTCGTCCGTCGCGTGAAAAGGAAAAGAAAGGCATCCAAACAATTTTATGGTTGTTCAACCGACAAAGGGCCTTTTTGGTCACGCTGATTGCTGAGAACGCGCTTGTTGGGCCCCCGCTTTCAAGTGTCCTGCGGGGTTCCTCGAAAAAAAAAGAAGAGAATCAGCTCCTTATACGCTCTATCTCTTCTGCGAGGGTATTAACGTCCGGTGATGAGATCGCATTGGAATGCCCGAAGGGACTCTCTGGGGAGCCACCTTTCGCTCTCGGGAGGTCCAGCTTCCGTCCCAATGATTCATATCCGGATGTCAGATTAAGCGGGCCGGCATTCTAACCGATTGTTCCCGCATCGCGACGATAGCTAGTATCATGATAATTTCATATTGCAGCTTCGTGATAATTCTGAAGTCAGGCGCTTAGGTATTCACGGGGATGACATAACGTAAAGTGAAAGTGGTGAGAGCAATTAAGGAGGATGCATAATGGAAAGTGTGCGGGCGTATCGTGAGCCTAATGCGTTTTGACAAAGGCATTCTGATAAGAATATTGAGCGCAGGGCTGAGTGCATGCTGACAATTTAACGCGTCATTTCGAATTGAGAATTAAGGATATGAGAAACCGTGCCGACGTGTTATTTCCAGAGTTTACTTCGGCTATTTTATTTCATTGATACTTCAATTTTCTCCTGTGTAAAAAAATGTGTAAACGCACTTTTGTGCCATTATTTAAACTCGATTGATTGTATCGATTAATTATGTCGGTTTCGATTCTTGGAAAAACGACGATTTGATTTATTTATTGATATTATGATTTAGTTTATCCTTTGATTTTAAGTGAATCGATGAGTCGTTTAGATTTCTTTGTGAATGCGGCGTCATCGGACGCTGTGCATTAAGAATTTTATCGGTGCTTGCGATTGTTTGAAAATTAATCCACGGAATTCCGGAATTTTATTGCTCAGACAAAATCTGATAAAACCAATGTTTCGGCACTTTGTTACCAATTCTTGAACGACTTCCAAGGTTAAGAAAATACGCTGGAACTTCAGTAAGAATTCTGACGTGTTCCATGCTCGCTACGAAAACTTGTAAATAAACCCGATGACTTCTCCGAGCATGTCGGTGGGAGTGAAGATGCTAAAAAAAAAAAAAATAATGTAGCTTTTTCTCCGCACAAACGACGTATCTCAGTATCTTAAAAATAACATGTTTACATACAAAAAAGTATTAATACATGATTCGACGTTATCGATCAAATGAAAAATGTAACGCTATCTATTTTCGTCAGTCGGGTTTCGCGTTGTATGAATTAAGCATTGTTCAGAAATTTAGATTAGATTGCGCAAGGCTGCGAGAAGAACCCTTTGATATTTCTATCCGCTTCGCGTCCACAGAAACTGCTAGATTCAGCGTGACGTGTGTAGCACGCTCGAGAGCGGCGTGGCTGTATTTATGCGCGCGTATGCGCAAGTATTAGCAGTATCGTCTTATGAAATTTACATACGCATTACAACTGCGTCTGCACGCTACAGTCTCCACTGTTTTTCGAATCGTCCGAGGAACAACTGCGTCATACATTTAATGTTATTAGCTATTTTCGCAGAAGCTTAAATTACGTGCGCGCCTCGCGCGTCGTAACATATTCGCGCGGGTCGCGCGAATAGAAGATTATCCCAAGCGCCACTCCTTATTAATACAAATGTCGTAAGATAATAAACACGTCTGATAAATTTGCCGGCACGACAAACAGGAAATTTCGAGAATCACCTCCTCTGAATCTCCAAGCAGTTTTTCTACACAAAACCCATGATTTATTTTTAATTCCGCTGCGACCTATGAGATAACGTGCCTGAGAAATGTTTTAAAAGTTTTTACGTCTAGAAACGTAAACTCTATTTTAGGATAATGATTTTTATTTCTTTCAAGTTGCATCATTTTGTTTTGTTTTAAATTCGAGTTGTTTGAAATGAAAGCAAGTTTATTTAATTGTAACTGTGCGCTCTCCAAAGCCAATTTAAAATTAATTTTGTTAATTTTTGTTCGAGCAAATGACCGAGCACGTCCTTATAATCCGTATTATTTTTTTTCAGAGAGCGAGGTGGATCACAAGTTTCAATCGCCGAACCGCTTTCGGCTGTCCTTCGACCTGAGCAAGATACCCGACGACGAGATGCTACAGGCGGCCGAGTTGAGCCTGTCGCGTGTCGCGGTCCCGGACGACGCGGACGGGCGTCCTAAGCGCAGCCGAGTGCTGATATACGACATAATACGGCCGGGCGTGAAGGGTCGTAGCAAGCCGATGCTACGGTTGGTCGACAGCAAAGTGATCAACGTGATGAAGAACTCCACGATCAGTCTAGACGTGTATCCGGCTGTTGTGAGGTGGATGGAGAACTCTCGCAATAATCACGGGCTGCTGGTGATCGTGTCCGGCACGCTCACGCAAGAGCACGTGCGGCTGAAGCGCGGCGTCGACGAGCACCAGGACGCGTGGGTGGTGAACCAGCCGATGCTCTTCACGTATACGGACGACGGCCGCTACAAGATGGCATCCGCGCGACAGATAATGGACCGGCGTGCCAGGCGGGCCGCGCTGCGGAAGAATCGGCGGAAGGACGGCCGCGAGCATTGCCGCCGGCATCCGCTCTACGTGGACTTCGTGGACGTCGGCTGGAATGACTGGATCGTTGCGCCGCCCGGATACGACGCCTTCTACTGCCACGGTGATTGCCCGTTTCCTCTGACGGACCATCTGAACTCGACGAATCACGCGATCGTGCAGACGCTCGTTTATTCGACCAAGCCGAGCATGGTGCCGAGGGCATGCTGCGTGCCGACCGCGCTCAGCTCGATATCGATGCTCTATCTGGACGAGGAGAACAAGGTGGTGTTGAAGAACTACCAGGATATGGCGGTCCTCGGATGCGGCTGCCGCTGAAACTGCGGTCTCTCTTGGTCGGCAGCGTGAATAAGAGTCACGTTCGTCGCTTCGCTCGTGCCAAACGTTCGCCGACGCTAAATAGCGCGGGGGAGGAACGAAGAAATGGGGAAAGACAAAGAGATATTTATTCCGCACGCTGCAGGCCGACTCATGTTTCATACTGCGCTCGCTATTTTGTGGATTGAAGGATGAAACATATGCGAGTGTTCAGAGACAGTGTTAAATTGGTTGAAGAAGAAAGACAGTCTTATCGCCACTATAACAATGCATGGCGAATAATCTATAACATGGTAAAAGTAAGCGCGAGTGACACATATCGCTATTCAGCGACAGCGTAAAAGAACTTTTATAAAACTCATTATCGTATCGAGAAAGACTTTTCGTAGTTTATTCCTGTGAAACTACTTCAATTGAATTGAACGAATTAAATTGAACCATTCAAGAGCTATTCTCGATTTGTCGCGTGAATCGATCAGAGATTCGAAGGACGTAAAAACTTTCATTCATTCATTCTAAATGATTGAGATATTATTCATTCGATAAATTCTAATAGATTGTTTTTAGCTAGAGATCTTGGAATAGTCTTCGACTCAAATCAGGAATGGTAGCGATTGACTTAATTACTAATCAGAATCAACTCGAAAGAGCGATTGGAATGATTAATTCGAGTTCTCTAATCGGAAAGTTCAATTTAATCGAGAAAAAAAAGAGACTAGTGACGTAGCTTCCAATCATGATCAAATTCAGCTACGATTGCAACAAAACCAAGTGGCAATTGCAATAATTTGCCAGATTATCGTCAAGGTTTATTAAGAACGCGATGATAAGAGCAGCTACCCGGTCATAAGCAGTCGTAATTGAGAAAATGACGGTAGGAGTAATCCCCTATCAGGAAAGGTGATGATCGGTAGAAACAATTTTGCAACATCCGCTCGGCCTTCGTCAAATATAATCGAATCGTAACACAGAAGACACGAATAACAAGTACAAACGAGTTGTCTTTACTGCGTAATGCTAATTGTACACACTCTTGTTACTTCTTCGGTTATGAATGAATAAAATTTTACGAAATTTCGGCAACAAACGGATTACAAACATTTTTTTTAAATAAATTCCATCATGGAATATTTAACTTTAACCGAATTGTGTCAATATATTGTTTATACCAGTGAATAAAATAGTTTTATAAAGTCATTAAAGAAGAGAATTTTTAATATAGATTATGTGCAATGTTGAGTATTGAAAGAAAACTGTTAACGAGCATTTCATTTATGCTAAAACGTGAATGGAATCCGTGAAACTCATTGTTGTTATTACGCTTGAGCACGCGACATGAAGGAAAAAGAAAATGGAGAACAATACAACGTGCTGTGGACTTTGAATGGAAATATTCCATCTATCGAGACGGCTTAGCGCTTACCTTCTTAAAGTATTTAAAATAACTCCATTCATTTTAAACGCTCGATAATTCCGCGAAGAATTCATCTCTCAAGTCTAACGACTTTTTATAGCGGGCTTTTAAAATGCGACACAATGCAACCAATTAATTTTACCGTAATATATTTCTAACGAGGCAAGCGTTGCTGAACGAAACAAAAACAGTATATACGAGCGCTGATATATAATTTCTTGCCTACTACACGAATTTACTTAACGCGTTAAAAAATTTCGAGTAAGTTTTGCGAAAATAGAATAAGTGATGTGCGTAATAATTGCGATGGAAGCAGTTATAAATGTTTGGCAAAGATTGTGCATTACTCTTACTACGATCACCGTACGAGACATTGTAACATGTCAGTGGACCAACGACAAATCACGCATCGGAAATATATAATTGACTAACGACAACGTGTAGAAATGTTCTTTTACTACACGCGGTAAAATATCAACAATGTTGACTGTACTGGAAATGGCGTTCGTTGTGTAAATGTGTACGTGAATAGTTATCTCTCTGCAGTCGTTGGATCGCATTAACGCCTTTCTGCGATTTTAAAGGACTAAAGGGTCAGGGCAGCGAATTAGATGCGTGAAACTCGGCGTGTCCGGTTACGCACTAAACACGGAGCTACGAAGCGTGCATTCTCCCTCTTAACGCGAGCGAATGTATGCCTACGTAAATCCTGCCGCCAAGAATAAATTGTACCTGCCTAAGGATTACTATTTATTATTATTTTTTTTTTCTTTTCTTTTTGCCAAAAGATTTTCAGACACACGTGTATATTTGTACAAAAGTGTTATTGATAAGCGAGCGCCGTTGTAAAATGTGTAAAGTAGATAAAATAAACGAGTCTGTAAACATTGTAAATAATATGTTGTAAAGTATTATATGCGTATGTATATTCTTACGTTTTACCATTACTTTCCTAGTTCCGTAGTTGTACACTGAGTGCATGTGTAAATATATTAAATAAATTTAATATAGCAACCAAGTATATCCTGTATCTCTCCAAATTGTATTGCACTACGCATCTTTTTTTTTTATTAAATAACTAAGAACATAATTTGAATATCGGGTATTCGTACAAATTAATCATTGTTTCAGCAGTTTATTCAGCTTGATTTATCACAGTAATTACAATCAAAGTTAGTGAAAACCTCTCGACAGCAAATATTCAATTGCACAACAGCCGCTAGCAATTATATTTTAAATACTTTATTGCTTACCACTCTTAGCTCTTATTCAAATTATTTTAAAATCCATAAAAATAATCGAACATAGTGAGTATATAGCCGTATTATAAATATTTATCAGTATTTATAAAATGTTTCATGTAAAAGTTTAATTCCGCTCAATATTTTTAAGACTTTATAAAATTGTGAGAGTGAGAAAGACTATTCTTGCGGATTTTGTATAATAATTATTCAATTTTAATAATATACGCTATGTAAATCGCATTCTATTCAAGACAAGTATAAATCTCAATGTTATTATCCTTCGCGAGACTGTGTGTAATGTTCACATTACACGAGATATACAGAGCTTGAGACTATTCAAACATTTCCGACATACTATATACATTATAAAATATATTTTTTATACAAGAAAACTTCAATTCATCATTGGTAACGTTAAAGACTCATCAGCTCTGATTCCGCGATTCTGAACCGGGCCCGTGCAGCTCTATAAAACTTTCGAGCGAGCGCGGAACGTTACCGTGATAGGGCAAGTTGTAAGTTTTGATTGCTTTGGCCGCCATACATGTTAATGATAATTTCGTCTGAGTTCGTAATATAATTTTAGCTACTCCTGAAATAGAAGTAAAATATTAGTTAAGTAAATTCACGTGCAAAAAAAGAAAAAAAAAAAAAAAAAAAAAAAAAGAATGTTTAAATGGAATCTATAAAAACCTGTTGCGACTGCATTGTATGGTGTCTGTCCTTTATTATTGACTGTATCCATATGTGCGCCAGCTTCTATAAGATCTATTATAATTGAATGTAAAGTCGCAAAATCGCTGAAAAAAAATTGAAGAATCTATCAAATCTATATCTATTGATATTAGCATAAATAATCTATTGTATATTAATATACATTTGTGTAATATTGATTTCAATATTATACAAATACATATCTACATAATACATACCTAATTGCTTTACCGTAACCGACAATAACATGGAGTGGTGTACTTCTTTCATCATCCATTGCGTTCACATCAGCACCGCAACGAATCAATAATCTCGCCGTAGCCGCACATGGGAATCTAGAAATGAAACAAATAAAATTGATACGAGGAATTGATGGACTGCAAATACCTATGCTAGATTTAGACGAATTCTTTCTGTTTTTTGGGGGTTATTTTTACAATCAAGCCAAATTACTTGATGTGGTTCCAGTTCAGAATATATATTACTTTGTTATTGCAGTTGAACGTACTTGCAGACATCATTAGTATGAAAATCGTCGACAGGAGTTTCGGCATTCACAGCAAGATGCAATAGAGTTTGTCCATCTTTCAGACTCATCCGTAACGCGCACAATTTATGCACTAAATGATGCGCCTGTGTCAAGTCTGACTCGTCACATCTGCTTCCGTTAAGTGTCATAAGTTTTGTCAAAATTGTTAGAATATATAGAGTCGTTGTAATATTTGATTCCATCTCTTCCTATGCAGACATTATTTCTAAATATGTAGAAATATGTTTCTATTTGTCATAAATGCAATATACAGTTTGCGTACATCAACTCTTTGCGTAGATAAGTTTATCATCCTCAAAGAGTTAACGTTGTCCGGTGCGTTAACATTCATAAGTATAAATATAAAGTAGTCGAACCATGCGAGTAATTATGATTCATACAAAACAATTTACATTTAAAAAATTATATTTTCAATATTAATGAGAAATTAACTGCTGAATACAGACGCACCAAACACTATTAGAACACGCGACTGTATGTCATAAAACTTCTTCACTACTTACGACACATTGATCGATGTCATCCTTGGGATCCGGATTTTGAATTTTCGCTTTGTTCCTACTTAACTCAGTTACGCTTGCTTCCAGCACATTTGTAACTTGCAAAAGCTCCAAATCGACACCAACGTGTATCATTTGTGAGAAGACCTGCGCGAATCGAAGAAGATCCGTGACAATGGATATATTATTGAGCTGTCTCAGTCTCAGAGCATGCAACCACAAGTCTATGCATCTGTCGAATCTGGCATTATCCGCAAATATAGCGCCTCTAAATACTATAGGATGAGGCAACTCTGGATTATTTAGACCTGACGAGCAAAGAATATTTTTTATTTTTTTTACAAAAACATTAAATATAACTATACTTCGATGAAAGTATCGAATGTACATTTACCTAATATTCTCTCCCGAATAGCGAGCGATTCCATGTGTATAGCATTAGGATTGTTTTTGATACTTTCTAATCTTTCTAGCGTTTCGCATTCCTTCCAGTTTTCATACGCTTTCACAATTGAACTTAGTTGCTTATGTACAATATTATTAGTATCACTGTACCTAAAACATAAAGAATATGTTAGAAAAAATAAGTAAAAAAATGCAGAAAAGCAAAACGTTTCTTCTCACCTTAATTCCATTCCTTTATATAGGTACGTATATGCCTTGGTTAGGCAATAACTATCTTTATCATTAGCGTAAGATGCTCCAAGCAGTTCATAAGCATCTATTATTTCTTCCTTTGTCACTTCTTCTCTTTGTACTAGACATTCAACGACTTCTGCGCGCGTCCGCTCAGCAGCCGTTATTAAAGGTGTCATACCACTTACATTCTTTGTCATTTTCGCTCCGTACTTTAATAATTCGCAAACGATAGTATCATGTCCACATTCGGCGGCAAAGTGCAATGCTGTCGCTCCACAATAGGCTTTCTTATTAGAATCCACTCCTTTATTCAATAGAAAATTGACCTAAATCATAATAAAAAAATATTTAGATTTAAAAAAATTAATTAAATCTATGCAAACAATAATTTAATTGCATAACAAGTAGATGTATAAAAAATAAACTTTCTTATATAATTTATATAATAATTATGCTTACAATATCAAGATGTCCTTTGTAAGATGCTATCATGAGGCAAGTGTTATTGAACATGTTAGGGATATTTATATCTGCCTGATGATTAGTCAAATATTTAACAATATCCAAACGTCCATTGAAACATGCCGCTCGAAGTGGGGTAGAATTAGTTTTCGTCGGATGATTAACATTTGCTCCTGCTTTTACAAGAATCTTGAGAACATTTAAATGTCCTGCTCCTGTAATTGACACGTATTATTGATGCAGCAGATTCATTATAAAACATCTCTTTATATATTATTTTGCGATTGTACCTGCCGCAGCCCAAAGTGCACTGGCTCCTTCAATGACATATCCATTAAATTTCACCGTTCCTTCCTGTTCCAAATCAGGTTTAAATTTCTCAAGTAATGTCCTAACTACTTTACCATGACCATATCGTGCAGCAATTATTAAAGGCGTACATCTCTGCCCATCATCTTCTAGAACTTTCTGTAAATATAAATTTAAACACATATAACACATATAATGGAAAGGCTCATATAATAACTATCAAATAATATAATAGAAAGGCATTGAGAGCCATCGCAAAATGTTAGTGGAAAATTTTTAATTTTTCTTAAAGAATAAATATATATATAAATTTAAACGCTATTTCAGAAACTGTACCTTGCAAGTTGAACGATTTTAAGAAAAAAAAATAACACATGTAAATTTAAAGTCTAAAACAACATTTGTGTGTGCATGCATAAAAATAAAAAATTCATATAGTACTTTGTAATTTGCATGAAAGCTCTAATAATAATAATAAAACAATATTATGTACATTGTAAAAAAATATAAAATTGTAACTTACATTATTAGAATCTATTATAAATATTTTCCTTTTAGTTAAATTAATACATTCTTAAGTTCCTTAAGTTCATTCCTTGAGTTAAATTTATACATTCTCTTTGTATATATGCAAATATATAAATATTGCTTTTAAAATTGTTTCTGATTTGTATAAAATAATTAATTAAAATTGTTATTTAGATTATATATTATATACTCAATTAAAACAAAATTATTCAGGACAACTTGCAACATATATTTAAATATATATAGCTTATCATGTGTTGCAAGTTGTCCTGAATAATTCTTTCCAAATGTGTCACAACTAAAGTTAAAAGTTGACATATATTTTGCAGTTTTAGATAAAAAAAATATTTACAAAACATATTTAAATCCTTATAATTCTTTATAAATATTGTATGTGCACTAAACAATAACTGCATGAAACTTCCAACAGAAATTTGGAACATTGGAAGACAATGCAATGGTCAGCATTTAGCTATGATTAATCAAGAAATTTATGTCGGGATTACAGACAATTAAATGCTAGTAAATGATATGCAAGTTCCACGAATGATTAAGGCAGAAGCGAAGAATGATGCAACAAATACCTGATTAATCAGATGATTGGCATCAGTGTTGAATTTGTTCAACAGGTCGCAAAGAGCTATTGACAGTCCATCCCTTGCAAAATAGTAAATCCGATTGATCAGCTGCTGTTCATCTGTTATCTCGCATACAGTATCCATCCTCGCAGATTGCAAATGATATCAATAATATTTGAGAACCAGCTAAAATCACCCAGGAATCGTGGTAACCTCAAAACTCATGTTCTTCTCTCTTTGCCAGTGCGCGGAAAATACATCGCACGCCACAGCGACGCTCTATTTTAAGAGCGTTGCACACAAAAATATATCAATTCCGATGCAGAAATAACCGTAACAAAGCGTTTTTGCGCTGCGTACTCCTTTGTTGTTCCAATATCAATGTCAAACACTGGATTCGGCTCTAGAATCATCTAGAAAACTTCTAATTCGTGATTGCATATAGTTCACTCTTGGGAGTAACGTTCATCGAATAATTTATTCCATTCGTCGTGATTTATTGAGTTTCGTTGTTTATGCTTGAAATAACGAATTCGTTTCTCGCCAGGATGAATACATCACACATATGTGTGTGATAAACTGCAGTCGACGGCGAGTGTTTCGCGAATCACGTTGATTGGTATTTCGCACATTCGTCCGATGTGACCAACTTATAAATCCGCCAATAATATCGCGTGTAAGTGCGGTCATTCATTTTTGTAAGGATAATTCGCGGCGGGGGTTTTGCGTATTTTACATCTCGAAAAAAGAAATATTTCTCGATCGGTCGGCAAAATATCGCGAAACGAATGATGCGAACTCTTGGCATGACTCAAAATGTATAAATATCGTGACTCGCTAAATTCCAATCGTCATATTTAATGATTAAGAAAAATTTCCATACAAGGATAGATATGAACAAATATATATTTTTTTGGAATTTTTAATGAGAATGAATAATATATATCGGAAGGGTTATCTGATGAGAAAACAATTTTTCTTGAACATGAAATATGAAACATCCGCGCAAAACCCCCGCTGCAAATGAATATATTACGAATATGCATATGAATGCACTGAAATTTATTGTTAGAAAAAACTTCTAAAATTTATTTATTCCAACTTAATATTATATTATACAATAAATAAATTTTAGTAAATAAATTTTTTTTTCTTTTTCGGTTTAACAAATTTGATTCTGACTTTTTACTTTCTGCAGAGATTAGTATGATATAACTTTTCTTTTGATATATATTTTTTTGTTATACATTTATTGCCGAAATTTTCACTTTAAATGCATTCACCTAGCACAAAATATTTTGAGAATATCTTAGTGATATTTCAATGTCCTGAGAATTGCCTGAGGATATTCTGCAATATTCTGGAGGATATCTAGGATGTCCCCAGGATACATTCATGTGTATGTTTCTATATTTTTGTATGAATTATTGCAATAATTATAATTAAATGTTTAAGTATTTATTGTGAAAGAAACGTGTTTATTTATTTATACATATTTTGTATTTCTATGATATTAAAATTTTATTTTTGCTTTTTTACTCGAGTGATCAACTATTAAATCTAGATATAACTTTGCTTAAAATAATTATAGCTACATGATTATAATCACAGTCTAATTGTCATGATTTTATCATTATAAAATTCTAATGTATAATGATTAATTACAATTTATATAGTTATAATTTATAATAATAAATTATAATTTATATATAATTGTTTCATAACAATGAATTAGTTATAATTGATATATCTAAATAAAATTTTATATCACACTGCAATAAAGATTCTGATATACTATAAGCGTTACATATACAACTAAAAATACAAATAATACAAGTACAAATAAAATATATCTTACATATGTTCTTACAAACATTTTCGGATATCCTTTATAGCAAGCATTCGAAGTTCTACAGATTCGTTAAATTGTTTAGTGTGTAAAAGAATATAAGACAAAATTAACATGGATAATATAAAAATTGAGTGTGAAAGATTGTGTATGAAATGTATCTTATTACATCTTTCTGAAATTTTTTCTTTGATGAAGCATATTACATCTTATAAAATTCTTCAATGTATCTACTTCTATTTATCTTTAATGTTTCTCTTATAGATTACTCATATTCTCTTCATCTTCATGTAACAGCAAATAATATTAATATTATGAAATATCCAAACATCTAAACATTGTGGGTTATGTGGATATACAAGAAATATTTAAAAATACGGGTATATTTATGCTAAATTACATTTTCTTCTAAAATATTACGCAATAACTTATTGTAATTGTGCACAAAACAATTCCATACATCTACAATTCTACGTGGGTGACATTTCTTCCGACGTGAACGCTTCGAATTTCGTCGATATTCTACATAGTTTCGTGCATTTTTACGGGAATCGGCTCGTTGAAAATACCAATTCCGCTGATATTCCACGTCCTTTCGCGCATTTTTACGGGAATCAGCTCGTTGAAAGTACCAATCTGAAGCATCGGACTGCCACTGCTTCTTGCGCGCATTAGATCTAAATATATATTTTATTATATATTTTTTAGTCTTTTTTTCTCTTTTTATACCTATTCAAATTTGAATCTTATCTTTTGTTAAATTTTCTTAATAAGAATGTAAAGTTTACACATAGATAATTATCTTATATCTAACTCTACCTCTACTCGCTTATTTTTTTGTTTTACTCGTTTAAAATAAGTGAAAGTAACCGTGTAAACATCCATAGACTTATGATGAATGCATTAATTTTTATCAAATCTTTAAATGCCGAACTATACGAAAACAATCGGTTGTATCTGATACAAAAATAATCGAATGTATCCGACAATATTTTTATACAAACATACACTACAAAACACATAAAATATAAAAAATAAATAATTATACGATACTGAATTGTCCAGGAAAATCTAAAAATATATTCAAATATGCCATTAAGGAAAATATTATTTCTATTACGGATATTAAGTATTAATAACAAAATATATATTGTTTTATAAAGATTTTATAAAAATTCTTACTTGTTGATATCGTCCGTCCCAAATGTATAAGGTTCATCGTCTTGTTTTATTGTGCGTTTGTTAAATGAAGATTGTTTGGATTCATGATGGTTAAAGGTATCCTTTGGTATATGGTTCTTCATTTTATTTTGAGGTGATACATCCTCTCTTTTGTATGCATTCTTATTATTAAAAGGCTTTTTGGTAGAATGTTTCGATTTAAAATCATTTTCTTGCTTTGATCTGCTTTTCTCTTTCGCAAGAATGTTTGAAGAATTTCCATGATCCAATACAGTTTTTGTACTATTTACTTTATGTTTACTGTTGGCGTAAACATTATAACTCTTTGTTGCATGCTGGAAAAAATGTATTTTTATTTGAACAACTTCTTACATTAAATAGTGCATGCTGTATAATATGAATTGATAACTATATCATTTCCCATATTGTATTAGAATCAGTATTATGAAAATCTGTAAGAGAAATAAACTTTTTTTAGATTTATAACTTACATCAGGTACGGTATTAGATGTAATTATGTCGTTATCAAACTCTAGCGATTTGTTTAATTCAAAAAACGGACATGTGTCTGATTGTACACAATCATTCTTCCCTTCACATCTATTAATTGACTTTTTATTCTCTCCGCAATTCTTAGTTAATTGTTCTAATTTACTAGGATCAGATCGTATGTCTTCTAAATAAGACAGTACTTCATATAGTTTCTCTCTTATTTTATTATAATTGTTATCCACATTTAATTTTATCTTCTTCGAGCTAGAAAAAAATTAGGAAATATTAACACCATTTTTTCATAAAAATCTGATAAAATAATTTAAATATACAATAACAATATATATTATAAGAATAAAAGTTACAAACATTATAATTTATATATACTTACTTTGCAGTGGTAGAATTATTTATACTTTGTGTTCCATTTCTATTATTATTTAAAGAATTCTCTCTGTTATTATAAATCTTCTGAACGTTCTTTTTATGTTTCATGTGTAATATTGTATCATCTGCTTCTCTAATCTGCTGCTTTGGGTTGTTTGCACCTTCTGTTTTACTCCCTTTGTTATTCAATTTCTTTGAATCATGATTTGAACAAGACTTGTCATAATTTTTAAAAAACTGATTATTCTCTGTTAATTGTTTTAATAATTCATTATCAGGCAGTATATTTTTCAAATGGCATAATTTTTTACTTAATTTTTGTCCCACGTTAGCATATTTTTTATGCACATTTAACATCACTTTGACTATTTTTTCCACCAAGTCAGAGAAAAGTTGTTCAGAAGCGATACGTATTATATCATTGCCACTTTGCAAAAATCTAATGTATAATACAATAAATTGAGTACACAACAGTAAATTAGAAATAACAATTTGTGTAAATTATTATCTGTACTTACTCTAAAACAGTAGAATTGTTTTGTGTATTATTATTAAATGATACCAAAGTTTCATAGAATGCTTTTGTATTGTTCACAGTATCTAGTGTCTTACTCATTTCATTCTTTAAAGGTATATTATCATCAATAAATACCAATGATGATAATACATGTAAAGATACTTGAAGTTGATCCAATGGATATGAGTTAGAGTTGAAAGATTCTTTAACAGCCATGATAGGCTTCTTATTCATTTTATTAGAGGAATCAATGATCTCAGAAAGTTGAACTAAAAAATTATTTCTATTTTTTGTATCATCTGAAATGAGTGCTCTCATTTCATTCAGCACAGCTTTCACTAAAAGTAAAAACAGTTAAATATATAAACAATGCTTCATCTTAATAAAATCTTTTATAAAAGGTGATTTTACCTTGCGGTAATTCTTTGTAAATATTATCAACGTTATAAGTTGTCATCTTAAAACTTTCTTTGTCAATTCCATTTGAGTCTTCAAAAGCTTCTGGAACTATGAAAGGAGGATAAAAAAGGGAACCAATAACACACAATAAACCAAGTGCACAAGCAATAAGACATTGCTTTTCTCTCCTTGCACTTCTCTATATAAACAAAAGAAGATTTAAATATAAAATTATTTAGAAAAAAAATTAAAAAAAAAATATTGTTTTAAATATAAATATTTTAGATAAATAATAATATAAGATTAAGTACAATTATTATAGTACTTGTTTCTTTACCTGTCTTTCTAATCTCAAAAGTTTAGAGCTATCTTGGAAGGTACTATTAATTTGGAAACTATCATTAACTTGGGAAATTCGATTATTTGAATCTATATCACTCTCTGTTATAACAGATATACTATCAGAACCATCAGAACCATCGAAATTATCTTCTATCCTTGATATTCCATCACAATTGTTTGATAAATCATCATCCTTTGATACTGCATTATTATCCTTCGGCAATACATTATCATTTTTTGACACTGCTTCAGAATTCACTATTATCCAATTCTATGAAAATTAACATAAACATTTTATTTTTGTTATTTCAATATTATTTGTATATTTCCATGATATATTATGATTCTAATTCTAGTACTTATATGTTAACATATAACTTACTTCCTGTGTTTCTTGTGATAGAGAACTTTCATTATCACTATGTTCACTATTCTCATTTAACATGGTCCATTTCTCAACCATGCTTTCATCCGTCTTAACATCTTCCTCTCTTACCTCTTTTGCTTTTTCTATTTCTATTTCTTCTACGCGAGAACATGCTTCTCTATTTGCGTCAGCCATCACGTATCCAGTAATTTAAATAATCTAGCAAACTAGAGTGACAAAATACAATTCATTAACTTGGACTACTAAAACGAAATATGTATATCTTATTAAGCACGTGTCAAATCATTGAATTCTATAATATACTAGAGTGAGCCTTTCCCATAAGAATCAACATGTAGTTCATGGCTCAAGGATAGCAATAGACGAGAGAGAAAGAGAGAGAACGTTCTTCAATTACTACCGTATATAATGGAAATTAAAAACAAAGCAGATATGAAACAAATGTCCTCGCTCAATATAGCTCCTTCTTTTGTACAGTGAGACTACCCTCACTTCTTCAAGACTCATTTCAGTATGTTACGAAGCTCAACATATTAAATGAATTAAACTGTAACACTGCAATTTGTTTTTTTTAAGGACCATGTTACTTTTTTACAATATATTTAACAAAATGAGGACATGCGAATAATGTATTAAATGTACTATTAACTAAAAAAATTGCAATGGTTTGATACTTATTGCTCGACACTCACGTTGGCATACTTACGTGTATTTATGTATTTGGTTTCTTTCGAATAAACATTGTGGAGATGAGAATATCGTGAACACAAAAATAATATAGATGGAGAACTGAGATTAACGACCATGGAATTAGAAACTTAAGGTACCTTTTCACGTTGACGCTCGACGCTCAATTTCAGTGTAGAAGACGTCATGTGACCAAGAACTATTGCAACGATTGGTCATTTTTAGTACGAACTGATTTTGGTGATCTCACGCGGGAAAACTAATAGCGTTTTCAATTGAACGGATTTTGATCGATCTAAGGTTGGTTAATGACGTCATTGCATCGTCTCCGCTAAAAAAAAGATTTGAATTCATAATAAAATAATAATTAATTGATTCGCGATGAATCAAAATCCGTTCACCCAAATATGGTATATGAAATTGCAATACTTCTTTTTTTACAACAAATTTCAAAATACATTAAAATAATGAGATCTTCATGATTATAATGCATATTGAAACTTATCGAAAAAAATTGTTACAATATTTTTTTTCTAGATGTATTAAGTTTGATACACTATACATATATCATAGATTAAAAATTTTTTAGGAGGAATTGTACAGAGCATGTATAATTATTTGATTATCAACTTTATTTAAAAGAAAATTTATAAATAAAAAGAATTGATTTGTTTTCACATTGTAATAACAAAACGAATATATCCAAGTATTTATATTTGCGTATACAAAAAAATTATGAAAAACATTTGTTTTTAGCATCAATAATAGATCACCTATATATAATAAAATTATTTAATAGCAACTATAATTTGCTTGAACATGCTAAGGTCCTCCAATGTTAAATTATTCATCTGAGATTTTCGAAAAAAAAAATTAGCTGTATAGTCTGCATAAGAATCAACAAATAAAAATTTTTCCAAATCTTCTAAACTTTCAATTGGCAACATATTTATAACACCTGAAGGTATCTGAGCTGTTGCAAACATATTACAATATGGTGCCAGGTTACAAGAATTTGCATCGCACAGCACAATGACAGAATTGCCAGTAATTAAAATTTGTGTTAATCTTGAAAATAAAGTAATTTCATTTTCTTCCTTAAGAAAAATAACACCTTTTGGGTAATGTTGGTCTGTTATTTCAAATCTTCCCTTTTCATAACACATTAAATGATTTTTAACAAGATATGAACCTTTTATTAATCTTGATATTACATTTGCCAATAAAAATTTACTAAAAAAGAAAACAATTAAAAAATTATCACAAGTACATAAAATAAAGTACTATATAAAAAAAAGATATATATAAATTTAGTAATAACATATATATTTACCCATTGCACTCTAATGTGAACACAAAGTTAGATAATACTTGCAATCTAGAATCATAAGACATAGCACTCCAAATTTCTAATCCTTTGTTAGCTGAATCAATACATTCTTTAATATTGTCACTACAATCAAATTTAATATATTAGTTATATTAAATTTTTTAAATCTTAAAATAAATTAGTCTTAAGTTAAACGTTTAAAGAATTATATAGTAATAGAATTATTATAGTAAAATAGAAAAAATGTATATATATCCTCTCATACATCGTTATGTATGCCCATGAACCGCCTTTACGAATCACATACGTGACATTCGCGGCCTTCCATGCACCATAATAAAATGCATTATAAAGTGGATAGTTTTGAGCATTATCGTTGAAAATTTCATTTGGTTTCATTTTAAATTGTGTTTTTAAATGATGTATGTTGTATAAGAATGCATCACGCATTGCTTTCTCAAATACTCCCAATAGAGGTGACTTGTTCAAACAGTGGGTATTCATATGTGCATTTATGTATATAATTTCTCTCTAAATAATAAAAAAAAACAGACAATTTTAATAAGACTTAAATGCATAATTCTCGATATGCAATTGTATTAAATAGTTTGAGTAATATACATGTAAAGAAAATGCCAAATTCTTTGCAGTCACAATATTTTCTGACCATATGGATGTTATTTTTATAACGTTATCATTTTTTATAGGTGTAAGTAAATCTTTCTCGAATCGAAACATACAAATAGGAAAATCTAAATGATGAAAATTCTTCTTTAAAAGTGATAAAAATTTCTCTTGTATTTGTTGTTGCACCCAAATTTTATTTAAAGTAAATTTTCTTGTTATCATTAAATAACTAATAACTGCATACAAATCTGAGTCTTGTAGAAGCATCATTTCATTAGAACCTGTATATAAATTTAAGAAACCTTAATTATTAAGTTAAAGACATTTTTATTAGATTATGAAGATATTATTCTTACTTCTAGATATAAAAGTTTTTATATTATATATCTCATTGCGAATTAATTTGCTATCAAACTTTGTATCTTCACTAAAATACAAAAATACAAGTATAAAATTAATAAAAATTTTAATTGTAATATAATAAATACAAACATTAATTAGTAAATATACAGGGTGTCCCATTTTAAAAACCTCACGTGAATAACTTTTCAGAGAGACATTTTCAAGAAAAATGATTTAGACCAAAGTTGTAGGGGTTATTGGGGGCCATAAGTTGGTGACTTTGAGTTTGACCTTGAAATCGATTTTGAAGGTTATTTGGGGGTTAGGTCAACTTGAGTTTTTCAAATGAAACACCCTATTTTTGATTTTAAAATCTAATAGCTGATGTCAAGAGCTTTTCAAAACACTATAATAAAGTTATTTTTCATTAAGTACTTTTCGAGTTATGAGGCTTGAAAGTTACAGCATTTTGACATAAAA